TCATGAAAGTTTTTTATCTCGCCGATGTAAGTGGCTGGACAATCTGCACAAGGGATCTTATAAACCACGCCCTGCGTTTTTTTTTTCTGTCGGAGAGCGATCTTTTGGGCGGGGCATGAGTAACCCAAGCATGGACATAGGCTTGTGGGCCACGCTGATTCCTTCTTTGGCTGGTATGTGATCCAGCGCCTCGCTTGTTCCTTTGATGTAGGGTACGCGGATGCGCGAGGTTGAGCATGGCTACGTACATGCTTGCGATTGCAGATGTCAGTGATATCCAGCTTGACGTGGGCCAACGCGTTGGATAAAGGTGCTCGTGTATCCGTTCTTTTTGAAATCAGCACAGACGATTTTTATCCTTTCTTCTGTCAGCCTCAGACGAGCAAATAGTCTTCGCCCTAGACAGCAGTGTCCTGACCACCGATGTTTTGTGGCAGGCTGGGTGATTGGAATCAATCTGGGGATAACGCCCTGTATGCGTGGGTTTCCTGTAAACAGAAAACTTCAACTCTTCCTTTCCTCTTCTCACGAGCACGTCGAGAAAAGGCAAGGAATTGTCTTTTTCATGTTCCGCTGTGAATTGGATAGCCGGTTCGATCGAGTTGAGGTGTGAGAGGAATCTGTCCACTTCAGATCTTTGAAGGATGCAGAAGCAGTCGTCTACATACCGCACAAATATTTTGGGCGCCGCGTCGAATGACTGCAGGGCCTCGTCCTCAATGGCTTCCTTGCACAGGTTAGCCGTGGTAACGGAGACGCATGCGCCCATGGCAGTTCCGCTGGCCTGTTTAAAATACCCCCCTCTGACGCTAAAGTAGGTGTTGCTAAGGCAGAATTCAAGGAGGCTGCACAGTTCCTCCATACTAGGGGCGGTCCTGCTGTGCAGGTCTTTGTCTTTTTCGAGAGCCTTCCTGGCAGTGGTGACTGCCAGGGGAACGGGCACACTCGTGAAAACTGAGATTACGTCGAAAAAGTCTAGGCTTTCCTCAGCGCTCACCCCCAATTTCGAGATGCGCTCCACGAAGTCGCAGGAGTTGCTGATATAAGTCGTCGTTTTTCTAGCTAGAGGAGAGAGGGTGTGGTGAAGATAGTTCGACACGGCTCGAAGTGGTGAGGTTCTGAGGTCCACAATGGGCCGGACAGCAAGGTGGCTTGTGGATCTTGGGAAGGCCATAGAAAGAAACCCGGCGCAGATCCATCCCCACAGAGGAGGGGCAGATGGAGGCTCCTCGAGTCTGGATGTTTTTTGAAAACTTCAGTTAGGATCTTGTTCAGCGTTGCCTGGATTTGCGGTGTCGGATCCTTTTTTAGCTTTTCATAAGCAGAGGTGACAAGCATGTCTTGGACCTTCTAATCGTAGACATCCCGGTCGAGGACAACGGTTGAATTGCCCTTATCTGCTGGAAGAAGCACGATCTTTTTATTCTCGTGATGCGCCCGGAGCGCACTATCTTCTTCTCTTGGGTGGCTGTGCCATTGATGCTGCGGGATGTTTGATAAGATACCGATCACCTTTTGTCGCACCCGCTCACGATCGCTAGGAAAAGAGGCGGTTTCATTGTAGTCATGTTGAAGCAGTGGCCTTTGGCTAAAACCTTGATCTCGCAAGAAGAGAGTTTCCTGGACGAGAGGTTTATGACAAACCTGGTGGTGCCGGTTTCGTGTTTTGTTTTTGCTCTCTCCATTAGCTTCGAGAATTTCTTACTCTGAGAAACTTTTTGTTTTTCCGCAGAGGTGAGGCAACGCTTTCGGCGAAGGAGTGTAAGTGAGGGAATATAGCTGGCATTCTAGTTGCCTGCCGATAGTATACAGATCCAGTTCCTTTTTATGTTGTTTTGGCACTGGTGGGCAGGGGCTTCGACCAAACGGTGCTCGACTTGCTCGAAGATCTTGTTTCCCTCTGGTGCATGAACGAGCCGTTAAAGTCGAAAGCTTTGGGGGACCACGTGGTGGTCCCGGCAGGCTTTCGCAAAGTCCAGGTGTGTTTTGAACGTGGATATATCTCGAGTGGCATTCACATGCCTTTTTGATAGTTGCACGGTCTCCTCTCCGAAGTCATCGCGTAGAAACTTGAAAGTTAACATTTGAAAGAAATCTCTCTTGGGAAACACAACGATTAAAGTACGGCAACCAACCAAGGTTTAAACAGGTAGGAGCCCTACGTTTCGATCCTACTTGGTTCTTCGTTAGGGGTAGCTGTGGCCGTTGAGGAGCAGCGTTTTTCGCTCTTCTTTCAGGGATGTTGCGCATTTCTCGATCTGCTCTTTTCACGGATATAACGAAGCCCGTTTACATAAACTGTTGGTAAGGCACCAATAACCTATTTATGTTTCCTGGCGTCGTTTGAATGTGCCAGGACTCGATAAAAAGCCTATATAGGTTGTCAGTCTCTGCGTCAATAATAGTGGTGTTGTTGAAATCAATCCGGTGGTCTTTGACTTTCGCAGTATTCAGGCACTGCGCTGCGCTCGTGGTCGTGCTTGCGAACGTCGTTTTTGTGTTGGCGTATTCTTCCATTAAAGCTATTTGTTTCGCCGATGTAAGTGGCTGGGCAATCTGCACAAGGGATCTTATTAGCCACGCCCTGCGTTTTTTTTCTGTCGGAGGGCGATCTTTTGGCGGGGCATGAGTAACCCAAGAGTGGACATCGGCTTGTGGGCCACGCTGATTCCTTGTTTGGCTAGCACGCGTGCCAGCGCCTCGCTTGTTCTTTGATGCAGATGCGCAACCTTTTTCAGCTAAATTTAGCTGGTAAATGTTCCGCTAAATTTAGCGCAGAATTTTTCCCGTTAAATTAAGTGGAGAAAATTTTCCGCTAATTTTTGCGGGGCAATTTACCCATAATGCAACGCGGGGTGACGTCACACATGACCCTCGTGACGTCATTATGGGAAACGTCTCATAATGCAACTCGCGGTTACGCCGTCGCCGACGCCGCTCAAGCTGGAAATGGGCACCTAAGAGCGGCGATCTAAAATATACTGTAATACATAAAAAAAAAAAAAAAAGGGCTTGAGCTGGAAACAAAATGCGAACGCGTTATTTGTTTTACTTCGAGCACTTAGCATTGAAAAAACGAGCAAACATCGGACCCGCGCCGCAGCCAATGCAACTTCTCCCGACATCTTTTTTCTTCTTTTTTTATCTTTCAGCATTGGAATTTGATCAGCAAACCGGAAATACGTCATGCAGCGCTCCTTTCACTTCTCGCACACCGTCTCCGGACTCGGTGTACGAAAGCGCGTTTCCTTTACTCCTGAGTAACGTGCACCGGAAGTCGCTCTTTGCCGTCGAATGGAAAGAGTGCGAGCTGCTTGACTCTCGGAGCGCCACCAAAAGCGCACAGGTAGCGAAAGGTTCTTTAGCTTTAGAAGGACTTCTGCTTATTACTCGATTTACTCCAAGCACCAGTCACTTGTGTAGCTTTTGTCGTCTCAGCGAATGAGAAGGCCGAAAGATAATTTACTTCGATGTCCATGTCAACTCAGTGGCAAAAGGACTGGACGCCATATTGTGCCATTGGACTAAATGGTCATGTCGGTGCGATACCACAGCCGGTCTCGTTGACTATGCTGATTGACTCGACGGGTAAAATATTCGTGTTGAGAGGGAATCCTAGGGCAGTACATATACAGAAATGTCTGAGAATGTCTAGTCTCTCAATAAAGCGTCGACTGTCAGGAGACAACGAATGACGCGTGTGACCTGATGAATGTGACATGAGTCGAGGCAACTGGTGGCCGCTCGAAACATTTGCCCGGTCGCGCTGCATTTAAGGGAAAGTCGAGTGATTCTCGCGTAAGTCTTATACACTTTGCGAAAGTCCTGTAAGGCATTATATCTAGTGACACATGTGGCGAACACACTAGCGAATTGCTATTTTATAAAACGAACATAACTACGGTGACGATTGTTATCTGATACTGCATCTAGATCCTGCTAAACGTCAGTCATAGTTATAAAGACGGATGCGTTATGAGCTCGGGGCGTCAGGTAGGCGGATAAAGGCCGGTTCACACATACAGCGGAGCGCTAAGTTAGCGCTACGTGAGCGCTCCAAGGAGCGCTCATGTGGCGCTTTCTAGCGCGTGATGTGACGCTTTGTTGGCGCTTCAGAAGCGCTTTGTTAGCGCCCTGTTAGCGCTACAGAAGCGCTCTGTTAGCACTACAGAAGCGCTTCGTTAGCGCTCTCACTCTCCTTGTGCCGTGCTTGCTGCAGCGGAACAGCGCGTGCACGGCGATTCCTTTGTTGTTGTTTTTCTTTTGGCATTGAAAGAAGAGAAAGTAAAACAACCGCTCTCCAAGCAAAGGGTCGGGCAGGCACTTCAGAGTCATGGACTCTGAGCGACTAATTGGTTAGGTACGACCTCATCGCTTTCTATTCGATATGCGTGACACTAGTTTCAAAGACACGCAGTTAAAAATAATCGCCTTCGAAAGAGCTCTGCGTCTCGGTCCCTGCAGCCTGGGAACAAGGTTCGCCGGGTACCCCTCAAAATCTCGATGGCGAAAGATTTCGCGCACCCAGAAGGCTCTTTTGGGCGTTAAGCCGTCCACACACATATGCACTAATCACGTATCTAAGAGAATTTTTCGCATGTCTATTTCAGAATAACACATGTCCGCCATGTTGCTGCTGACGCACACCCAACCACAGGAACCGGTACCGCAGTGCACGCGCTAATCCGCAGCACCGCGGTACAAAAAGCGCTACTGAAGCGCTAACAAGGAGCTACTGGAGCGCTAACAAAGCGCTACTGGAGCGCTAACAAAGCGCTACTGGAGCGCTAACAAGGCGCTACAGAAGCGCTAATCGCGCGCTTGTTAGAACTAAGTCACGCGCTAGGAAGCGCCACATTAGCCCTCTTTGGAGCGCTCACGTAGCGCTAACTTAGCGCTCCGCTGTATGTGTGAACAGGCCTTAAAGGTTCTTAGCTTTCTACACCAACGGTATTCCAAAACAGTGCACTAAAAAGGAGGGAACACAACGGGCCTCTAAGATGCACACAGTGATTAGAGCTTTCGTGAAGGTTCAGGTATTGTGCTGTACGGAAAGAGAAAATATTGAGCGTGCACGCGCTCTTTTGGTTGTTTCCGTATACCTTGCAAACACAAGTCGCATTGTACCACACGAGAGTTCCCTGCAACTCGGGGAGGGGGAACAGATATTGACTATTTTTCTATTTCATTTTGAACACGCCCAGCCCTGTTGCACCGCTGCATACGAGCTCCGATCGATGTTCTTGCGGATGCCTCGAAGCATCGACCAGCGGCCAGACGTCGAGCGAGAGTGTGGCCAGAAATGCCGGCTCCGAGCAATACCGTCTAGAAGACAAAGCCTGCTTGACGTCATCGAATCCTCTCCCCAAGCGGCAAACACGATGAAGCTCGACGAGAGTGCGGCGGGCGCGTCCGTCTTGGCGTCGCCGCCTGACGGCTCCTTGGGAGACGCTGCAAGACACGCTGTCGACGATGCTGACGCAAACTAGGCGTGCATCCAGTCGTTGGGCGAAGCGGACACCTTATCTTATAGGTGCTACAAGTAGGTGGGTGTTGGTTACCAGGCGAGAGGAGTGCGCACGTCGAAGAGACGCCCCTTTCGGGAGAAAACACGACCATGCGTTCGCTTTACCTATACTTCCTGTTCTTTGTTCGTTTGGTCGTTTTTGTAAGTAGAGCCAATTGAACTTTTCACGTCGATGAAGCCCGAGTCACACTGCTTATACATGATACAAAATACAGTCTGCATAGAAATTCGAACGCGAGTCATCGCGAGATCCGTGCTTCGAATGCCGCGTGGCAATGAGTTCAAGGAGAAACGTGGCACTCGGCGTTCGAACCGCGGACATTGCTGTGACTCGTGTTTGCGAACTTCCACGTAAATAAGTTTAACTTAGAACTTCCGAGTCTAAATTTAATCTCTGCAAATCGTCGGCTACTTGCGACCTACTTGATCGTAGATGTTAAAGTGGGGTTTGATGTCTTTTTTCATGTATTTATAGGCGATCGATGGAGCTAAATCTCTCTTCCCAAAAGGTGCTGTGCTCGCGTGCTACATTACATTTTACAAAGTTTTGTTTGCCTTATCTGAGTGTTAATTGTAGCCGTTCTTGTTTCTTTTTTCATCTCACTTTAATGGGTTCTATAAATGTAAAAAAGAGATCACGATTTTCTGTTGCAAATTTTTATTGTATTTATATCACTTTTTATACATCTAAGCCTTAATAGGCGTCCACAAAAATTAATTCAAAATTTATATTCGTATTTCCAGCACTGCTCACTGAAACTTTATTGATGATGGATATACATCATTCTGTACTTTTTAAGTAGGCAAGCCTTATAGGCTTTATTTGCCCTAATGCATCATCGTATCAAAATATGAACCACCTGGGATAAATACTAAAATGACGTTTAGACAACTTTAATATTATATGAGTCGGAGGATAGCCAGTGCCACATAAAAGTTTTCACAAAGCATTACATTTGAATCCTAAAATGGCGCCTACCAATGGATTGCAAAAATACATCAATAATCAATGCCTGTCAGTCCAAACTATCCTTGCCAGAATCACACGAATGCTGCAGACTTCAAACGCTTCGATGTGGAGAAATAATGACAACACTAAGGCGACTTGCCAATGCATTTCACCAGCTGGCGAGGCTGCGAATGAGGATTTGAGAAAGAAGAAAGGGAAAAGAGGGGGGGGGGGGGGGAAGGGCAGACTGTTTTTTTGGCAGGTTTTATTTGAATTGCTTAATATGTAGCTCAGAACAATATTGAGCTACTAAGAGCACATTGAAAAGGTATACTCAGCATTTTGGTTCGTGTTTTCCTCAGAGGTGGACCACTTTATTTTTCTTTCAATGATTCTCAAACCCAAGTCTTAAAGGAGCTGTGCAACAATTTTTGTACTGTGCACAAATACCGCTTAAAACGGATCTCTGAAGTTAATGACCTATGAAACACGCGTTCGTTTTTCACCCCACGCAATAGAAGTCCCAGAAAAAAATTAAGAAAAACGAGCAGCGTTCACCCCCTCAACTCGCAGCCAGAACAAGCGGCCACGTGATCTGGAGCCGATTATATGCCGCCAGTGTTGATCATAGCCACGCGCTGGGGTTGGCAAAGCGCAGGACACGCGCTGAGTTCCAGACATTGTTATGGCTCGGCTGTTGTCGTCGTTGCTGCGATTGGACACGGGTCACAACCCGAATGCTTCTCGAGCTAGCAATTGTCACGAGCCCAAGTCGAGTGCCCACGCAATGCTCGGGTCCAATCTATGAACCGCATTCAAATATCGTCACTTGGGTGTACTGCGATCCCCGAGTTACGTCATCAAATTTTGCAAAGGAGAGATTGAATGAAAATGATCGTTTTTATCCTTGAAATTACACCGCAACAAAGGAGTTTCTTGGCCAATGACGTTGCGTGTGAGTATCCTTGAGTCCCAGGTGTGCCAGTAAGCTCGTGTAGAGAGAAAAACATTCCAACTGAATATCGTTGCACAGCACCTTTAAGGGACACTGAAGTGAAAAAAAAAAGAACTTTTTTAAAAGGCTTGATGCTCCTTCTAAAATTCTTCCACAAAATACAAATATATATATTTTTTAGAAATATTTACGTTGTCAGACGCAATTTAGGAAAAAGGGGGGGGGGGGGGGCTGATCTAGACCCGTCCGGTGCTTACAAAGCTAAGCACCTTTTTTCGGCTCTCGTTGGTTGGATAGATGATTGATATGTAACATGTTCGTTGTAAAATTGTTTCTTCGTGCCGTAATAGTTAGTATTTATATCGATATTATGTTTATGTTTTAGAAACATAAACTAGATAGAGTCATTATCGTTTTCAAAAATATCCCGAGACTGCCTTTCTGCTTCGTTTTCGGAAACGCTGTGCGGGCGTTTGGGTTCATAGCGGGACTGGCCCAAGCCTATAGCGTCCCAGGTGGACTATGTTGCTTGATCTCGCTTGATTTGCTCCTTTGCGCGTGTTGGTGCCGAAGGTGTTGGTTCCCGTAAAAGCGGCCCGCTCCTTTGTGAATTGTGAAACCGTTATGATTGCAACCATGGTTGAATACCGAGAAGATACCAACATACACAGGCAAGAATTTGGGAGCCATTTGACAGAAGGAGAACGGGCGTTAGGTCATCTATGTTCCCGTCATTTCGCTTCGAAAAGCATATAGCTCTCAAGTTTTGCAGCGCAGCTGGCCGCAAATATTTTTACGTCGCGTTCTAATTGTGCGTCATGACGCTCACCCAGCTTACCCGTGGATGCCATGTGAAAAAAAAATTCTAAGAACCTTAAAGCTGAAAAGACAACATATTTATTTTGTTGATTTTATTAGTCCATTCGGCCACTAATTACTGCACGTCGATAGACGCTGAGAGACGCTTGTATTGGACCGCAGCTCGTGCATTACGGAACGCTAGAACGCCGATTTCATGGTCGCGTCTTTTGAACGTTGCAGAATTTTTTAGACGGAGGCAGAATAGCAGACGGACGGAGGCGAAAACGGGCGCAGACGCACAGCCTTCGGGTCCGCGCCTAACGGGCACTGCAGACGACGATGGACGGGTGTGAAATAGGGCAAACGATGCCAGTAGCTGCCACGCGTCTGCTCGCACGACTAGCAAGCGTCGTCAGATGGTCAGACCCGGGCCCCAGACATTTGGTGCGAGTCGCAGTCGAGTGGGTCTCGTAAAATCATTCGACAAATGATGAAGACGTCAACGATGCCAGCAGATTGTTTCCCATGGCCTCTTTTGTTTTCTAAAAGCACTCTTCTTGACATAGAATACTGATGTAAAATATTTTGAAAAAGGTTCCATGCGGCGAGCAAGCGTTCCAAAAAGCGTCTTCGGCGCATCGGAATGCAAGAAGCTCACCAATGAAAGGACAACGTAGGGAGCGTGCAGGGAACGCGGGATAACGATTCAGCCAAGCGCCTCGTCATCGTTGGATGAGGTAGGGGTAAATAAACGCCCGAAGTGCGCAAGGAGCAGACCAAGTTGCGCGCCATTGTTTGACGTGCAAGTGCGTCTGCTCAGTTTGCGCACCTTAGAAGAGGTTAATTAAAATAAATACATAATATTTATTGGTAGGCTCTTTGGGAAACGCTCACGCTGACCCTTCACTTATTCCTTTTGGCTTTCTCTTTTGCTTCCTCTATTTTTTGCTGCCTCTTTTTAACCTCAATACGAGGTCAGTGTTAGCGTTTCCCAAAGGAGGACAGTGTTGCGTTTCCCAAGGGTCATGCTAACGGATTCCTCAAGAATCCACTGATGAATCTTCCTGTATTTTTTTTCACCCTTTTTTGTATTCTGCCTGTCGCAGTACGTCGACTCCCTTCGATACGGTCAACCATATCACTCGTGGAAGGAACCACATCCATACCACTCGTGGAAGGAACTGCATCCATATCGCTCGTGGAGTTCAGCGCAGCTATCGTTTTAACTACACACACACATCAGAGCCCCCACACCGCTACTACGGAAACCAAGAGCGAAGAACAACCGGCGACAGCAGAGCGAAAACTGAGAACACGCTTACATTCAACCATGCCACGGTGTAACACCTCCTACATAACAAAGCCGTGGTGCTGAATGAGATGGCGTCATCAGAGAAGGCTAACGGTGGGCACAGATTGAACACGACGACTGCGTCAACGTTCGGCTCAAACTTGACTCGAAGCCGAGCGCTGACGCAGCACTCGTTTTCAATCTGTGTCCGGCGTTGGCCTTCTCTCATTAAGCCATCTCATTTAGCACTACGGCTTTGTTATCTAGAAGGTGTAGCGCAGAGCCTCCTCCTCTCTGGCTCCGCGCCAGCTGTGCGCTTGACTTTAACGAAAACGAAAGGATTCGTTTTGAGAAACTCCCGGCGGTGTCTGTCAGTTTGTCAGCACCGGGGAGAGTGGGAGAGGTTGATTAGCGCTCACGTCAACGCTTCGGACCAATGGGAGCATCGAACGCGACAACTGACAAGCGAAATACATTGCCGGGTTTTCGTCAAAAGGAGCGTTCTAGTGCTAACTCATAAAAAAAGTGCTTTGAGATTTTAATGTTGATACTATTTGTCCGTAAATGAACGATCGCCGCCATTGTTTGGAATCAGCAATAGGCTACTTTCTTGCGCCTACTGGGGCTTAGCAAAGTATCGCGTGTGCGCAGAGGACGGCCCTGGAGGACGAGCGGGCCATCGGCAACCTTCCGCTGACCGAGCTGTTTGTGGACAGCCACTTCCCGGCAGCCGAGTCCTCGCTGTACGCCCACAGGCGGCCCGTGCCGGGAAGGATCTGCTGGCTCAGGCCCCACGTGAGTTGCCCCATGCAAGCCACATGGAAGGCATGACGTCAACGTTAGTGGATCCCGGACTAAGCGACAAACGCGCTGGAGCTCTACGATAGCCTTGGCGTTGCCACGTCATCGCCAGATTCTTGCAGCGTCTCACAAGGAGCGTCTTGCAGCGCTCGTTCTGAGGCGAGATGCACTGGCGACGATTCTGACGCGAGGTCGCTGCGTGCATCCACTCCTGATGTCGTATGGGCGAGAAAGGCCTTGTCTTTGGGTGGATTTCTTCAGAACCCAAAGTGAGCATACTTCAACTTCCTCTGCCAGTGCAAACACGTGCGATGCCAAGCTTCTACGCACTATGAAAATTAAAACATAACCGCGTGAGTGCACTACCCATAGTGAAAAAAAAACAAAACAGAAGAGCCCCTAGCAAGCTTCTCACCGCGAATACTATTTTAGACACATGAGTTGTTTTTCTCAGCATGAATCGCGAAATATGTCTAGACGTCAAAACACACGTGTGGATCCTCGGAACGTTTCCTCCCAGGAGTTGGTGCCCGAACCACAGCTGCTCGTGAACGGAGTGAGCAGGAACGACATTGTCCAGGGCGCCCTGGGGGACTGCTGGTTCTTGTCGTCATGCGCTGCCGTGGCTCAGCGACCGGACCTCATGCACAGGGTATGGCCGCTCTTCCTTGATGTCTTGCAAACTAACCACACTGCAACGATAGCTGCAGACGCCCTTGTTACCGCATTCGCATCACAGTGCGCCGCATAGTTTTTTTTTGGAAGACTCGCTTTCTTAGTTATCGCGATGATAAGTTCAGCTGCTGCCGTAAGTGGTTACATTTCTCCGCTGCTATTTAGACTCTCGCAGTTCAAGATGTGTGTGTTGGTGATCTTGTGTAAAGCCTAGTTCACATGCAGCGGTTTTTGCCCTAGAGCGGCGCGATTCCTGCCGTCGCGGCGCTCTGGCCAGCACCAGCGGTTAAGCGGCACGAGCGCCGCGACGGCAGAAATCGCGCCGCTCTAGGGCCAAAATCGCTGCATGTGAAACCCGCTTAAGGGATGCAAGAAAGTCTAAAATACGAAACGGAACGAATGACCACTTCTTCCAGGGGGGCCGGGTATGGGGGAGAAATAAAATAAATAGACGAGAGGAAAAAATTGGTCGGTGCATAGGTGTACTATGCTGTATAAATTTCCGTAGAGCTACGTGTGGGTATCACAAGAAATGAGAGGGAGAGGGGGGGAGAGTGAACGCTTCGGGGAGTCGCGCTTGAGAGTCGCATGAATTACCCGTGCCGCAGAGGACGCGAGCTCGGCTCCTGTTCATGACGCACGAGGACACAGCGCACACGTAACAAACACTAGGACAACGTTCACAGTCACACCAAAAGAAAGGGACACTTACACAGCGCTGACTTCACATATGGCGATTAAGGTGACAAGGCCGTTACGGTCCAAGGAATGATGGCTAAAAGGGCCCGATGTACTAGAAATGAAGCTTGTTAAAACAGACGTTCGGGCGAGTTGGTAGTTCATGACGCACGAGGACACAGCGCACACGTAACAAACACTAGGACAACGTTCACAGTCACACCAAAAGAAAGGGACACTTACACAGCGCTGACTTCACATATGGCGATTAAGGTGACAAGGCCGTTACGGTCCAAGGAATGATGGCTAAAAGGGCCCGATGTACTAGAAATGAAGCTTGTTAAAACAGACGTTCGGGCGAGTTGGTAGTTCATGACGCACGAGGACACAGCGCACACGTAACAAACACTAGGACAACGTTCACAGTCACACCAAAAGAAAGGGACACTTACACAGCGCTGACTTCACATATGGCGATTAAGGTGACAAGGCCGTTACGGTCCAAGGAATGATGGCTAAAAGGGCCCGATGTACTAGAAATGAAGCTTGTTAAAACAGACGTTCGGGCGAGTTGGTAGTTCATGACGCACGAGGACACAGCGCACACGTAACAAACACTAGGACAACATCGGGCCCTTTTAGCCATCATTCCTTGGACCATAACGGCCTTGTCACCTTAATCGCCATATGTGAAGTCAGCGCTGTGTAAGTGTCCCTTTCTTTTGGTGTGACTGTGAACGTTGTCCTAGTGTTTGTTACGTGTGCGCTGTGTCCTCGTGCGTCATGAACTACCAACTCGCCCGAACGTCTGTTTTAACAAGCTTCATTTCTAGTACATCGGGCCCTTTTAGCCATCATTCCTTGGACCGTAACGGCCTTGTCACCTTAATCGCCATATGTGAAGTCAGCGCTGTGTAAGTGTCCCTTTCTTTTGGTGTGACTGTGAACGTTGTCCTAGTGTTTGTTACGTGTGCGCTGTGTCCTCGTGCGTCATGAACTACCAACTCGCCCGAACGTCTGTTTTAACAAGGCTCCTGTTCACAGCGATGAGCAAAGATTGTGGAATCACCGGTTGCCGGAAGTCTATCGCCGTTTCAATCAGACAGGAGCACATCGCGTTGAAGCGAGCACACAAGCAAGCCACCAGCAGATACTAAATTGCTGCAGAAACCACGATTGTTGGTTGTCTATGAATTGCGATAGCATTTGGCTAGGACAACCTCAAAGACGACGTCTAAAGGGCCGCCCACACTAGCGAGAAAACGCGCGTGGCACGCCGATCGCGGGAAGACGCGTCCCGCATCCTGAAGACCACACTAGATAGAGTTCTGCCTCCGCGAATATCACGTGACAGCACAGGAGGCCTCGCGCACTCTTGAAGCATTCGATTTTGCGGAACAAGTTTTCAACGCGATCGGCGCGCCGCGCACGTTTTCTCGCTAGTACGGGCGGCCCTTAAGACGACGTCGAGGACGACGTCCTAGAGGACAACATCAAAAACGGCGTCTAGGAGGACCTCGAGGACGATCTCAAGGAAGACGTCTAGGACGACGCCAAGGACGACGTCCTAGAGGACGACGTCAAAGATGATGTCTAGGACGACCTCAAAGACAACGTCTAGGACGACGTCGAGGACAACATCCTGAATGACGACGTCAAAGACGACTTTAGGACGACCTCTACGACGACGAGGATGACGTCAAGGTCGTCAGGTCCTTCGAAGCGGGTGCGAATGTGAACTGAAATGGTCTACTGCGCATACCTACTGCGCGTTAGAAGGCCAGAAAGTTAAAGAAATCGGGGGGAGCTGAAGATGCTGTCGCATTAATGGACGCGCGTGCGCACTGCGTGCTTTTCGACAGCATTCACGGCGCGCTATCAGGGAGCGCGGCGATGCAAATCGGTCTAAAGGCTCGTTCACACAGACCCGTTTTCTTACGTTACGTTACGAAAAGTCACCGGGAAATCTGTGCTTCGTATTAAGCGTGGCTACCGATTCGAGGAGATAGCCTGGCACGCGACATTCGAGACAGGAATGTTTCGGTGACTTCGACGTAACGTAAGAAAACGGCGCTGTGTGAAAAATTTAACCGAGCTCAACTTCTTACGTCACGTTACGACGGGCCTTGTGTCTTTGGTTGCCATCATAATTCACCGTCCTAACTCGTCGTCACCAAAACATTCGTGTCTCGAGTGTCGCGTGCCAGGCTATCTCCTTGAATTCGTTGCCACGCTTAATACGAAGCACAGATTTCCCGGTGACTTTTCGCAACGTAACGTAAGAAAACGGGGCAGTGTGAAGGCAGCTTCGAAGTTTTATTCGACGATTGAAATGGATGTCAGGCACGTCTCAGATACTGTTGACCAAGTTCTAGCCCGAACAGAAGTTTGGGTGCCGCACCAATCGAGCAAACAGGCGCGGTAATAATAGCGCCGGGAACGATGCCTGAGACCCCACCGAGGCGGCGGCAGAAAGGTGAACTAAAGTGCGCCGAAAAGTGTCGACAACGGGCACCTCGTCTGGCGATTGGTTCAAACGATAGACGCGCTCTTGGTTTCGATTTCGGTTGTGAGATGTGATGAAAAAAGTTTATTTGAACGTTGGATAATATTTTGAAGTTGTAGTTGGGAATTAATAGGTTTCATACCGTGTATAAAATCATAATCTGAAGCGATCCCTCCGTCTGTCACTGGTCGATCGCATTCTGCACTGCTACCTCGGGCGCGTAAAAAGCATCGAACAACCATGGACAAAAAAAAAAAAAAAAAAAAAAAAAAAGAAAAAGAAAAAGAAAAAGGTACGAGCGCCGGGGGCGGCGGACTTTTGGTTTTGGTTTCGTGCGTCGTCTCGTGTTCGCTTTGCGAACTGGTGTCTCACCAATCATGCCGCGTTTATGTGTAGCAGTAGGTTGCGCGAAAGGTCGGCTAAAGACGTGCGGTCGATCGGGCGACGTTAGTTTGCATAAACTGTCGACCGATGCAGCAATGCGCAGCATTTGGTTGCTCGCCGTCGTCTTGCGTAGGGCTGTGGACAGCGGTGTCAGGATTTGTTGGTTGCATTTCCGACCAGAAGACTTTGAGCAGCACCTTCACGTCACCCAGAGTCTGGGTAAAAGTGGGGCGGGGAGTCGCTCTGGAGGTGGCGACCGAGGAGTTGGTGGTAGGTCTGGGGCGCCCTCGTAAAGCGACAATCCAGAGTTCTGCGTCTTTAGCAGCATCTCCCGTTCAGTCGGCGTGAGGTCGCTGAACGGGAGCTCAAACTCGTTTGCGAGCGCGGCTTTGTCGTCCATTTCTTTCAAGTTTTCTTCACAGACCGCCGTGCACTAGAGCGAACCACAGGAACCACTCTGAATGTGCACTAAATCCTACCGATGCCGACAGTGCTCGCTGACGTCACTTCTCTTTCCAGAGGCGAAAAAGGGAAGAAATCTGAATGTTTGTTTCGGTTTCGCAAATTTATTTGCAGGTACAGAAATAAGAGTCACAACGTTCTAGAAAAAATTGTGTGGCATGCCAGGACCCCGAATGCTTCCGAAAACACCTTCTTTAAAAAAAAAAAAAAATTAAATTGCCTTCATGGTCCCTTTAAAGCCCCTCTACCCTGGGAAAAGTGGCGCCATTCCATTCTAGTAGAAATGCTCGAGGCACGTGCCGCGCGCCACTTCCGGGAAATTCATGGCGTCTGAAATCTGGCTCAATGCTGCGCTGTGCCGCCACGATCTTCCCAAGGTCTGCACGTTGCACGTGCCTCGTGCATTCACACACCTTGCGCTACTTTTGAAACATGAAGGGGCTTTAAATCGGTCGGCGATATGGTGTTATCTGGGTGACGAAATTTTTGTGACATCCATCTCCCAACTTTGCACCCCCTTCCAAGCGCGGAGAAAGGTGTAGTTTTACGGAAAAAAAGAAAAAGTGAAGTTATGAAGATTGAAGCTTCAGTGTTACGAACCTTGACACCTTGCTGTGGACGCCGTGAGCCTGCATGGTTATATCGTGTGAATGCCCGTTTGCGGCTGACGCGGAGGGAGGCGTCACTGTTGTTTTGTATGCTTCGCGTCCGCATCAAGCTGCCGGGGTTACACTGCTCATACGTCGTACAAAAAGAAGTCTGCAAACACAAGTCACCGCAATATCCGTGGTTCGAATGTCGAATGCCAAGTTCCTCCTTGAACTCGTTGCCATGCAGCATTCGAAGCACGGATCTCGCGGTGAATCGCGTTAGAATCTGTGTGCAGACTGTCTTTTTTTTGTATGATGGATACGCAGTAAGACGCCGGCTTTAAGCTGGGGTCACACTGCTTATACACCAGACAAAAAACAGTCTGAAAACCAGTGTTGGGAAGTACTTTAAGTAATATAAAAATTCTACTTAGAGTAGGATTAGAAAACTAGTAATTTACTTGAAGTACATTTTCTGAGTATGTACTTGTACTTTACTTAAAGTTTTTTCTCTTCTGTGCTTTCGGAGGAAATACAACTCCTAACTTCAAATTACGTTCCACAAAATTGGCTTCGGTGAAATTAAGCTGTTTTGAGGAGAATGCGATCGTGATCTTGGCTTTCCCAGAAAGGTGGAGCCCAACCTCTAACAAAAGAAATGGCGTATCGTCATTGGTCACTTGACTTTATTCAATAGACCAATTCCGTCAGCCAGTTTGACTACGCCACCACTGCCGCAGTGCCCCCCCCCCCCCCCCCCCCCCCCCCCCCCCCCCCCCATCGAGGGAACTTCTTTCTGCAAGCGCGACAACCTCGCTGGAGCTCTGCGCGTGTAGAGCACGAGACAGCAGAAGCCCTCTCGTGCACCGCCCTCTGCCTCCTGTGAGCCTGAAGTTATGGTGGCGTCACGCATGCGCCGATTGCTCAGTGAGATAGATCGGTCTATATTTTCCGCCACTTCCGAGAATAACTGATGAACCCCCGATTACCCCTGGGGCAATACATACGAAAGGCATTATGGAAGATTGTGTTCAAACCTACTTGTACTTGACTTTGAAATTACATTGTATTTATAGTACTTTACTTCAAGTCAGACATGGAAGAAAGAAGGAGGAGGAGGGGAGAGGAGGAGGGGAGGAGGAGATGGTATGGAGGAGGAGGAGAGGGCATACCCTCCCTTCCGTACCCTCCCCTCCTCCTCCTCAATAGCTAGGCTCTAATTTCGCGTTACAGAGATTTGTGAACGTCTTTAATTTTTCTTTTTGGCACGATGAACAATGCGCGTCCCAGGCACCCCAGTAATCCTTCCTCCTACTTTGTCCACATCCCCCGTTGCAGGTGATACCCCAGGAGCAGCAACTGTTCGGCTCCGGCTACAAGGGTGCTGTGCGCTTCAACCTGTGGCGATTCGGACGCTGGGTCGTGGTCTACGTGGACGACCTGCTGCCGACCAGCGACGGGAGACTCATCTATTCGCGCTGCTCCGACCCCAGGGAGTTCTGGGTCGCGCTGCTCGAGAAGGCCTATGCCAAGTAAGACGGGGGGGGGGGGGGGGGGGGGGGGGGGGGGGCGCTCCCTCTAGATACGGAGGGTATCAGACGACTGAAACCTCCCGGATGCGCACTTCCCCGCAATGCAGTTGAAGAACCAGTCAGTGGCTTGCCTTTAATAGTAGCTTAGGGGTTACGTGAGCGGTATCGTGACCCAATAGTCTCAGGGACTAGAAGGGTGTTCACATCTTGTGCCACCGAGACCACGTGGTTATTGAAGCGATATATTTGATGCCCTTCTCATATCATCACGTTCATTGTTAGGGGACGACTGATTAATGAAAATAGAGTTTGTATGCAATCGAGCTGGCGGAAGTGTTCCTTAGTGATATAAACCCGACACTAGGGCACAAGGAGGAAAAAGTTTTAGGGTGGTAGTCAAAGGACATCTGCTCAGACAACTCCTCGAGACATTGTCTGTCCCTATTTAATTTTCATGTAAACTTCTTTCTACTTCTGCCCAAGTTGGTGTTCCGAATGCAATATAAGTGCAGGAAGGTCTCGTTTAAAAAGGTTCAGATTAGTTCATTTGTTTCGTTGCGCTTCGAAGCATTTATGCAGCCCTCTCTTTTGCATTATTTGCCTTTTTATTTTAATAAATACTCCAAGTATGTTGTAAGTCCATTCGACTTCATTCATTTAAAACAAAAATCTGCGTTGAAGATGGAAGGGGGGAGTTGCGCTGTAGTCAGTCTTAGCCTTCCTCCAGTTATCGACGATCTCTTCAGGGCTCCGATTTTGGTCACCGCGAGATTTAATTTGCCTCTCGCGGAGCTAACGAAGACATGTCTTCAGACGGTTCGTCTGCTGACGCGATGGGAAGAATGCATTTGTCTGCTACAACGTGTCATTCTCAGCGGGAAAAAAAAAACAAACAGCGTAGGTTGTCTGCTAACAAACCGGGAGAAAAGGAAATCATGGGCTACGAACCGTGCGCCGTGGCAAAGTGAGATTGTGCACAGTCTGCAGTTGTAATCGTCTGCTTTTTCACGTTAGAAGCCAAGGACAACACACACGTATTTTACACATCTCAAGTTGTTCTGCTGCCGTACACAAGCGGACATTGACCGTTGGATGAACGAGTAGCAAGGACAGGCAACTCTCTCACTAATTGTAGCCTGGTGAGACGTTCTCATCAAGATATTTCCCGATCATGAACTCGCGAACGCGTCAAATATATCTAACTGGTTGATCACACCAAAGCTGCGGCGCCTCGTCCAATCAGCAGCCGAGGACGCCCTTGCTCTCACCTTGACCGAAATCGCACCCCTGACCCTTGGGGCACTGTGGACGGCATGCAGGACGGCCCGTCTTTTTCTTTCTTGTTGCTGCAGGCTGCACGGAAGCTACGAGGCATTGGAAGGCGGTCAAGCCATGGATGCCATGGTGGACCTGACGAGCGGACTCGCCGAGCGTTACGACCTCCAGGACGCACCAGCCAACCTCTTTAACTTCTTGCTCAAGGCCTCTGAGCACGGCGCTTTCATCACCTGCTCAAGAAAGGTGAGACTGCATTCCAGGTTCCGCATTGCTGAGCTCATATCCAAAATAAATTGCGGAGTGATTGTTTCCTGTCTCTTTGCGCAAATTATAATCCAGACGCCTGACGGTTTGGGAGTTAAGCGGAGGATGCAGTTTGGGGTTAAGCGAATGATGCGAAAGAGAAGCAAGTGGTTCCGCACTACACATCCTCAGTCGTCACTGCGTGTAGACCGCCCCACAAAGCAGGCGAAATGTAAATAATCAGCCTTTCTTTAATCAGTTTAGTCATCGAGCAGGAAGATCAGTAACGCGATCAAATATTCGTGCAGTCGCAGCAGCAGAAGGGCTTCCAACACTTCGCCATTCAAACTGCGTGACCATTGGACTGATTACGATCACTACGCTCATTGGCTAGACTTATTAAAGGAAGACCAATGAGTGATTGCATCGCAGTGCAATGCACTCTGGACATGCGATATAGACGCACGACCTTCTGAGACTGTAGGTCTGGGGTATTTTGTTTGCACTATTGCTAAAGTGTAGTACGGGATTCGTCCTCAGTCAGCGAGTGCCGTCACCTTGCGGCTCTTCAGACGCATCATTGATGCTGAATAGATTCTAATAAAAATGAGACGTCCGGATTTGCTCTTTCTTTACTCGGTACAGGATAAAGGCACTGAGTACACACAGCAGACTGGTGTCCTGCAATCGTGCACTTCACTATAACCAGGGTGCCAAAAAAAAAAAAAAAAAAACATTTTTTTTTTGTTTGTTTTTTTACCGCAAAAATAAACTAGGCATCGCCGAACGCTCATTCTCCGCCCGAAGGTAGCGCTAGAGGTCACAATCAGATGCCAAAGTTTCAGCCCGATCTGATATCTTATTCAAAAGTTATGCGTGATTTTCTGAAAATTTTAATGGGAAAATGACGGCCGACGGAGTTTTGGAATACATGAGGCCCTATGGCACCAGAAACCGAAAACGGGCAAAAACTAGCTCCATTTTCCCATTGAAATTTTCAGAAAATCACTTATAACTTTTGATTAAGTTATCGTATCGGGCTGAAACTTTGGCATCTGGTTGTGACCTCTAGCGCTACCTTCGGGCGTAGAATGAGCCTTCGGCGATGCCTAGTTTATTTCTGCGGTAAAAAAAAAGACCCTGTAAATTTTCTTTTGCGACACCCTGCATATGGTGTCTAAAATGCCGAGGCTCGATCTAAAATTGGTCGTAAAAATTGGCTCCTACACGTGGCAATCTGAACCTTTCGTCAAAGGTGTATTTCATAGGTGGGCCTTACCTTGTAAAATTACAAGGCGCAGCGCCCTTTCTGTAAAAAATAAGGCCAAACAAATTGCCAGGGCCAACGGCGGACGGCGACGCAGACGATCGAATGGAGTAGATGGCGTCGGGAGCAGCGTCGGAAAGTGTAGCCGACCAGCGAAGAAAAGCAGACGACACGTAGACAAAATCTGTCTGCAGCAAGAGCCCCGTCGTCATGCAACCGCGTTTTTTTTTTGTTTTTTTTTTTTGTAAATTTTGTTACTTCAAAATTTTTGCTACTATTGTTCGCATTTATTTTTAAACCGAAGTCAGATTACGAAGAGAGTATGTTAATTTTTAATAGACCACATTCTTCGCGGGCGGTTTCGATATTTTTTTTTTAAAGCAAGCCGCAACCGGCTTTGGCCGCAACAAGGAGGCAGCGCCATCTATCAATACGTGCGCCGAACGTGCCACACGACTCGACTCCATGGTCTGCGTCGCCGTCCGCCGTTGACCATGGCAAGTGTTTTGGCCCTATTTTTTACAGAAAGGGAGCTACACCTCGTAATTTTACAAGGTAAAACTCACCTGTAAAATACATCTTTGACGAAAAGTTGAGAATGCTACGTGCAGGCGCCGATTTTTACGGCCCATTTTAGATCGAGCCCCGGCATTTAGACGCCCATTGCGGAGAGCAAGTCGTCTGCTTCTTGCACAGGAGTTGCGGTGACGTCAGAACGACGCCGAGCTCTTATTGGCCGACTGAAACAAATAGTGGGTAGATCTCAGTGCTAGATGCATTGAGGTCTACCCACTATTTTGTTTCAATTAGCCAATGAGAGCTCGGTGTCGTTGTGACGTGGCCGCCACTCCTGCGCAAGAGGCAGACGACTTGCTCCCCGCATTATATATACAGTAGTTATTTGCAACTCAAGAAGCTAGGGCGAGGGAGAGGAAGGCCGGGAAAGAGGGAGCAGACGGAACGCTCTAGAGGAGAGGAGGTTCCCCCTTTCCTCACCAGCGTTCCGTCTGCTTCCCCCTCCCCGGCCTTCCTTTCCCTTGCCTTATCTTGTTAAGCTGTAACTTACTACAGTAATATTGTAGTTTTAGTTATTCTTTGAACCGTGCAGGAAAGAAACACAACGTTTGCGTACTTGAAGTAACTGCGTCGCGACATCTGCTCTTCAGTTACCCATATTTTAGTTTGCTCCTGTCTCCTAGGCTTGGCACACGCGTAATGAGCTTCGTTGTGATTGGATAACTGTGAATACTTTTACTTTGGGGTTTTGGTAGAAATCTTTCAGACTGCGGCTCCCGGCCAAAGCGCATGAAGATATAGCTGACATCTAAAAACGATCAGGATATCTTTTAGCTTTCCTGGCTGCAAGGCAATTCAGCTCCATTTTGTAGTCTTTCGACACTGTACGCACCCGAGGCTCACACGGTGTAAACCATTATTGAACCAAGGTGTGTAGGTAGCCATGTTGGTTCACGATAAAAAAAAAAAAAAAAAAAAACCGCAGAAAAGTTGGAGGCGGGGAAACAGGTGAGTGCCGATTGGTTATCTTTTCTCCTTTTCGAACTTCAGGTTTATTTTGTATCAAATCCATTTGGGAAAGGTGTCTTGATCATATGTGTGCTAGTGCAAATGATGCTCCAGAGTTGCTACAGGCGCGTACCTGCTCGGGTTTCTGCCTCGTAACCAGCATACCTCACGCGTGAAAAGAGATATCGCAATGAACTGGGAGTCGTAAAATGCCGCTCACCCACTGAAGGACCTTCGCACAATGACGATGCCGGCCGTTTCGCGCTCTGTGTCCCAGGGCGACTGGTGGCTGGCCACGGCGGCAGACCCCAACGGCCTGGTGTCCGGCCACGCCTACACGGTGAGCGCCGTGAGGAGGGTGCCGCTGCTCAGCGGTCAAGACGCCTGTCTGCTCCGCGTCAGGAACCCCTGGGGCAACGGCATCGAGTGGATGGGCGAGTGGAGCGACTCGTGAGTACACTCAGGGCACCTATAGACTATCCGTTGGGTCCCTAGTCTTAAACTGCAAAGAAAAAAGCAATATGTCTCTGATGGTTTTACTGGGCCACTAGGCTCTGTCTGAATATTGTACGTGGTGATGTGTTCGTATTGATTTCGTGAAGACAAATGTCTGTGTTCGCATACAGAGAAAGGTGTCGTGTCAGGTTCTTCTTGGAAAGGAAACGCGCATGAAAATTGAAAACTTGTTTCTGGATCTTCATACGCACTCAGAAGTCCTCGACAGGATATTGCATTCAAAGCGCCATCCATAGGTCTTCTTTTAGTCAGTTTACCAATTAGGAAGCACGTAAATGTCAGGTTTTAATTTTAATGCAGTTTCAGTGGCACGACATGTGGACTTCGTTTTGTCGTTGAGATTGAAATACCATTCGGCACGAGACACCGCTATCGTTTCATGAACCAAGCTGATTAAAAGAAGGCGAGTTATTGGTGTACAGCCGCGGAAGATATGAAAAAGTCCAGACGAACATGTGGCATACAGGGCCTGCAGCACTATCTATTAGAATAAAGCTAAACCATTATCGAGGCTTCAGTGGCTCTTCAATTTTTGTAGTCGCGCCCCGCTTGACCAGCAATCGTCGCAGAATAAAAAGATGTTCCGCGACAAAAGGCAAAGTTAAGCATGGCTGAATCTAGCCGGTTGGTAGGTTGAGGGATCCGTGTTCGGGCGTTGGATAATTTGTTCGCGGGATGAATGACAATAAATGGTTTTCATCTTGTTTCACCGAGACTACTACTATCGGTGTTGATCTGGCAATCATTTGCCGACCAATGGCGAGTAACAGCAAGAGTCGACCAGCAGCTGAACTGCCGCTTGTTTACACAATACGATGAGCAAGTCTTCCAAAAATGCGTCTTTGGTGCATCGAAACGAAAAAAGGGGCATGCCAATCAAAGGGTTACATAGAGAACGTGTAGACATTGCGCGATGACACTGCATGGTTCAGGTCGGGGGGAAACAAACGCACGTGGGTGCATTTGGGGGAACAAGTGCACGACGTGCGCAAGGAGCGGACCAACTTACATGCCGAGTAACCTCGATGATAGCTCAGCTTTTTTTTCGTTAGATAGCACTGGAGGCCTTCAAAGCCACGCGCTCGACTGGTCTTCTCATGTCGTGCGCGAATGTACCCAGAGCGTCGTTGTGCGATATACATGCACGAAGTTTTGAGAGGCTAGATCAGGGTGGATCGACACTCCGCATGCTCTTCTGAGCACGCCCGTGCAGTACACCTTTCACAATGTGATCGTTATCCTTTTCCCGATGGTTTCTGTTCGTAATTCCTCCAGAGATCCTCAATGGTCCCTGGTCGACTGCGACACCAAGAAGCAGATGGAATGGCGACAGCATGGGGATGGGGAGTTCTGGATGAAGTACGACGACTTCTGCCGCGAGTTCGAAGAGGCTTCCATCTGCACGCTGGGGCCGGACTTTGACGGCGACGGCATCCCCGAAAAGCCCGGAGAGGTGGACGTTGCTTCTTCTCGCTTTACGGACTTATCGTTTTAAGCGCCTTTTCAAAATGTTTGCTTAGTTACATTTGTTTAAAGATTATGAGCCTTGAAATTCAACTACCACGTTCGCTGCGGAAACAAACGAACAAACAAACAATTAACGAATTATACGTTTTGTATTATTCTTACTTCGATCCCAGAGAATACTTGGTGTTAGATCAAAGTCCTGGAAGGCGCTAATTTGGTGTTCTAGCTTGTGCGTGAGACTAGAGCCCCTCTATCAAGCAAAAGCTCCTTACTCCTCGTCTTTTCTACCTGTATGTATCGTTAGCATAGGTGGCTGTGCTTCACCGGTCGTGTGGGCTCGAAATAATTGAAACGTTTAATTCGCAGGAAATCATAAATAAACGAAACAAAAAACATGTACACAGATATGAAATTGGCGCTGAAGGAAAATAAGCGGTATTCAATTACCATCATAGCTGAGTCTGTTGCTGCTGGGAGCGTGCTCGGCGAGCTGCTACAACCGATTTGCAACGTGCGAGATTCAAACCATTCAGATAATCGCTGTTGACAGAGGAAAAATAGGCCATGTATCGCCGTTCAGTAAATACGATCAATACAATCTAATTAGTATAACTTCTGCAAAAGCGTCCGTGCTATCATTGTTGACAGATTGAGAGTAAAGTGGAAGGATCCTCACACCTCTTTGCACCTTAGCAAAGCGAAGGCTGGAGAGGAGGTAACCTCTTCTCCAGCGTTCGCTCCACTGAAGTGGAAAGAGGTGGGAGGAGCATCCACTTTATTCTGTTAACCTTTCACCAACTTTAGCAGACGACAACGTCAACGTCGTGGCTATCTGGTGCTTTTTAATTAGGCTTAAATAAGTGCATAATGTTAAAACCCACAGGCCACCGTTGGCATGGTCACTTATTGTAGTGAGCACGAGCTGCCATGTTCGTACCTTCTACCTCTCAGTCGTATACGTGCCACTGCCGGCGGTGCCACCGTGCAGTTCAAATTAAGGTTCTGGCAGGTACAACTTTCACCGGTCGGCCGTATGGCGTGCGCATTGCCTCCTCTCCGAAGTAACAAACAAGTGTGCCTGCTGGGCTGTGGCAAGCCCCGCTATCCTCTGCAGAGGCCGGCCGGGCAGCCTGTGTGGACGCCGTCCGGCAAGGCTCTGGGGAGCGGCGGGTGTGCGTTGCTGCACGGCACGCGGGAGCAGCGCCAGGAGTGTGGGGTGGCGTTCCTTGGAACTATGCGGCGCGCGGGCCGCGTCGCAGCCGCTTTAACAGCCGTTCCGGCGATGGAATTTCTCTGCCGTTTTTTCGCGGTTACGGTGCGGAGGGAATTTCTCTGCCGTTTTTCGCGGTTACGGACAACGCTCGCTACGCTCCATGGGACCAGTTAATGCTTTCGCATTAAAAATAGCCTCGCAAGTGCACCAAATAAAGCGACCGCTCCATTGCGACCAGGTGCGAGCCATTCGTGGAGTCTGGGTGGAGGGTATCAACTCCGGGGGATCCAGGAACAACCTGGGGCTCTTCAGCAGGAACCCGCAGTATCTGCTCTCCATCCGGACGCCCACGAGCAGTCAAGGTAACCACGCACTGCTTTGATCAAGCCAACGCCGTCTACTTGGCTTCTCATGTAGATTTACGAATACTAGCCGTGTTACACAACATGATTTGCAGGCTTGTAGTGTGTTATTTTGTTCTCATTGTTTGTAGTGTAAGTAGCACTGTATTTTACGTATACAAAAAAGGTATATATCAGCTGATAGTTTTACTCGCCGGTAAACAACGAGCTTCTAAACAGTGACTTTATTTTGAGGATGTACTCTTTGAACTACGCAATATAAGAATGACTGGAGCAACCTAGACTTTCAGTTCAGTTGGAATAAGCCTCATGCATACCTTGAACTGTGAACATGTTATTTAAAAAAAAATTAGATGAGCTGCACGGTTGTGAAAGTACTAACAAACATTTTGACATGAACTAAGAGTTGTAAATGACAGTGATTTTTCTGGCAAGGGGACTTAATCTCAGAGGCCAGACTCACAAAACTCCTCTTCGATTAGAACAACTTAGCTAAGATATTAGTAAGTTATGCACCTCGTAAGATACCCCGAAACTTAAGACCTTTTTGGCTCCGTGAATACCGGACGTGTTCTTAGGGTTCGTCCTAAGTATGTTTTTTCTCGAAGATCGTTGGGTGAATCTGGCCCCAGCTGAGGATTGGTGCGACGGCTGTTCTTTTGCCTTTATAATAAATATACTAACGCCCGCCTCTGGAGTCGCGACTCCGCGGTAGCCCCGAATACGACACAGTGCTCGCGCAGATGATTCCTCTCTCGCTAGGTTAGTTCCTTCTCCGTGCTTACTGCTGATAACGGAAGACGCGCATCAGTCTTCAGACAGCGCATCTGCTATGAGACAGAGCTTTGCTGGTTTCTCGCACCCGTTTGCCGTGTTTTTGATAGGGGCAGGGGTGAGAAATAGCGAAATAAAAATTATTAACTGTAATTAATTAGATTTTGAAGACCAAGTACTTACTTCATTACAATGAAATTTTAGTAACTAACTATAATTGTAGTGGTTAAATTAGTTGAACATCTTTGAACTTAGTTCCATAACATTTATTATCAGATCACACGTGGTCTCCGAACGAAGGGTGAAGAATTCATGGACAGTATTCTGGCATCGTTCGCCGGATACTGTATGTCTGACCGAAACTGGGCTACATGACAGTGTTGTTAACTGTGATTACTTTCCGGTAACTTATATTGTACGGTGCCAAAGGTACTAAGAAAAAAAACTGGAGAAAGGTACAGAGGTGGAATGCTGATTGAGGGTTGCTTAAAACCGCACAGAAGGTGCAGTCCTGAGTTCCATGATGAATGTGCTTGGATGGGTTGCCCACAAAGGATGATTTTAATTTGATGATTCACAACGATTACTTCCCACTCCCGCCGTTGTACGATAATTCGTCTTTTATTATTGTGTTAGAAAAAAAATCCAGAATAATTGACTTTATTATGTTTAGGGTGCAGATAACCTGCTGGTGTTGACTGGGCTTTTGGTTTACCAACTTGTGTGAATTCGGAAACAAGAAAATCATTATGTTTACTTGACTTTGTAAACTTTAACGGAAATTGTAAGTTAGATGGCCTTAGAAATAAGGCGGAGAATGCAGCTCTTTTATAGCCTAGTTACACTAGCTCTTTTAACTGACATCACGCTAGCGACAGTTGACTTAATCGCGATCTGCCGGAATTACACGGTGGCGCCAACTGTCATTGAGCCGTTAACGATCATTGAGTTCAACTGAGCTGGTCTACCTCAGTTAATTGATGAGGGTTCGCCCCAACGTTACAAGAACAACTGAGTTGGGAAACTGCCATAGAGCCTGCTTTGAAAAAATTGCACCGATCTGTACTCGAGAGCCGAACTAATGACGATCGCAGCGCCGAAATTTGTCCCGCAGCGACCCCTGCGGGAACTGCACGTCTGCATGCATCGGTTCAGGTCGAGTCGCGCAAGAGCCGGTGGCGCCATCTCGCATTGCCCTTCCGCAGTAGCATTATAAATGAACTTTCATGTTTTGACTAGTCGCTAAAGGGTGGCGCTGTTATCGTATTTAGTTTGGTCTCGGTGGACGCGAGCGGTACGGGTTTCAAGGGCGAGTTTCCCAACTGAGGGTTTTAGTAACGTTGGTTCGCCTAATAGAGCTAAAGATGGCGGCGTCCGCCGCATTGCCGCCGATGGCCAGCGCCAATAAAGCACTTACTATTGCGAAGAGGGAGGGGGGGGGGTACCCCCTTCCGCTTGAGTTTCACAACTGAGGTAATCTAGTAACGTTGGCGGAAGCCAAAGAGTGGCAAGGGCGGCCATTGTGATGTCGGTGCCGATGTGACTTTCGTTATGACTTTCTTGCATGAATTCGTGTGAAACGTTCTGATTAGCGTTTCTTACTCTAAAAACAACAACAAAAAAGTTAATTCCATTTTGTATTAAACGTTTATAATGAATGAAAAATGTGCATATAATTTTTTAGGAAAAGATAAAGTGACATCTGTTTTGGTTTCGTTTCGGTTTCAACTGTGTGTCCCTTGACGCGAATCTCAACTTGGGTTGCTAGACCTATGCACCGTGTAACACCGGACAACTTAGTTGAGCTCAATGACAGTTGGGAGATACCAATGATCGTTCGCTTAATAACAGTTAAGAGCACTAGTGTAACTAGGATATTACCGTTGTGACATTATTCCAATTTTTACAGCGATAGCTGTTAGCTGGACACTTCACGGTTTCGCTCCGTCGACCGCGCTTCATTTCGACGCGGACCACTTTCGGCACTCCGCCAAAACATTCCACGAGCTGCTCATAACAAGATAACAAGCAAGCGAGATATAAATGCGCGGTCACGCCTGGTAGCAAGATAACATGCGTGCTCAGTAAAACAATCCCCGCCTGGCAATCTCGCAATGCACTGGTATAATGCCCATGGGAACCGGATTTAGCACAAACAACAATTTTCGAAAGATAGGTATATAAAACTGCTTTTGAATTTTACGATGCATTCCGTTCCGTATCAGAAAGCGAGAAGAAAGCAAGTGCGTTAGTGCCCCGTCAATGCACCTGACAGATACAAATTTTTATTTCATAAACGAATAGCCAGAAAGATGGCATTAATAGTGCATGTTTATATAAATAAACCTTCAATTGATCGTGCATTTCGTCTTGTCTACTTTCTTGTGCCTGTCTATTCGGCGCTTTTTGTTTAGCACTTGTGACTGCTTGTACCAAAGTGACGTACGAAAACAGGCTACCCACTTACGCAGATAGCTGAAATGCTCTCAACTTAATACGCCCTCATCAGTTCCAAAACGCTATGGAATTTTCGTCCGGAGTGTTCCTTGGTTTAATACAAAACGCCTGGACTCTGTGGTGCGCGCTCGCACCTTTACTGTTCATTCAATCCAACTGCTCCGAAATGACGTGACTCCGACGTCATACCTCAGCTGTCGCTGCGTTTCACCTTACGGGTTCCGTAAGTTTTTACAATTTTTATTATCAAGGGTTGCGGAAATATTTTTGCTCCTGTTCACGGTTAATTTTTAATCTATTATATAAGTCTGATATTTTCCCATAACGATGGAGATAAACCATTATAGTACCAATATTTATGGCATGAGACGCTTGCCAGGTGAATAACTATCCGCCGGTGTCTCTTCTTTGTGGTTTTTCGGAGACTTTTGAAATCGTTGATTATAGTTTTATTTTCGCCAAAAGATTAATCTGGTTCAGCATGGGTTTGTATAAAAAGGATCGATTGAAACTAACCTATGTACATGCTTTGGTTGCTCGTCACCGGTGTTTGTTAAACAAGGACAAGTCCATGACATGAACTTTCATATGTCAAGGGCTTTCGACGCGGTAAATAATTTTTAATATTGTTGAAACTTCAATTGAATGGCTTATGCCCTCAGTATTTTCCGTGATTTAAACTATACAGATCGTTACGCTAAAATGCGGGTCGTACTTCGAATATATTGTGTGATCATTACACGTCAACGTCAGGTGTTCTATGATGTTTCAATTTGGGGCATCTTTTTATTTTTATAAATGATATCGTTTTCGTTGTTAAAAGTGCTTGGATTTTCTTGTTTGACGATGATATCGAGCTTTATTCATCGGTTCGTTATTTGGATGATTGTTTGTTTTGCTAGAGCAAGATATTAATCATGTGTCAATGTGGTGCGCGTACAATATTTTATTTCTTAACCCGAAGAAAACTAAAATTATCTTCTTGTCCAGGAAGCGTGATCAGATTGATTCCCGTTATATTTTAAGCGGATAAACCATGAGTCATCGTGTATATACAGTTTGTTAGTTTGGCGTTCTTGTTTTTTGCCGTCTTACTTTGAAGGGACACGTTACATCAACAGTTGCCGCTTCCCTTTGTATGTTGTAACTGGTTTCACCCATGGCACGTAATTTGTTTTAGTTTAATGTTTAGTTGATTTATTTCGCTCTTCTTTACGTTCAAGACTTGAGCATAGTTCAGAGGTGTGGAACACTTTGACTGCCGATCTGAGCACAGCACCGAAATGTAAAGCGTGCGGAACCGTCTGGTGCGAATTGTTTATGAGAGACACTTCAATCGTCGTTGCTATTATGGCTATAATTGGATTCTGAAATACCTTGATTTAGAAGAGCTTTCGAAATGACGAGTCGCTCGTGATTTGTTGCTTTTACACAAAGTCATTTTAGGAAAAGTATTTCGCTGGTGTCATCTGTGAACTTTCATGCCCCCTTTCGGAGTGGTAGATTTATATTGCCATTTTGCCCGAATAATCATCCTCATACCTCGCGAATTGAGCACCTCTATGACAAAATTTATGACGTCGATATGAACATATATGTTGATAATTTCTTGAGAAAAAGTAAAGCATAGGTAGCATTTGATGTTTTGTGTTGCTTGCTTTCGTGTTTTATACTTATTAAGAGTATAATCTCTGTAGTAGCACTTGGTGGGATTTACTACGTTGTCTTATTTTGATAGTAATGCCCATACTGTGTGAGGGTGAAACTGTTCAATGTTCAAATATATTGGGTCAATGCTTTGGTTTATATTAGAGCGCGGATTTTAGGCGCCCGTTCCCGTATATAGCGGTGTCCGCGTAACTTGCGCGTGTTGGATTATAGGTCGTCACAGACTTGTACACCAATTCAACTTTCTCGCTAAATTTGCGGAGAAACTGCATTGGTGCGTAGGTCTGCGACGTCCCATAATGCAACACTGTGCGCGTTGCATTGTCACGAATGTCATCATGACGAAACAAACAGTAAGTGAGGAAACTAAAACGTTTAATGACGCGAACGTGTGCCCAAAACGAATACGGGACAGAAGTGTGGCGGACACAGAGTCCAACAGAGGACAGCACTCAACACCCAACGCCGACCGGCACCCGCGCACCTTGGCGCGAAGAAAAAGAGGGTCGAAGAGAACCACGCGCAACCAGCTCCCGGGTAAAACACAGCTCGTCGTTCCAAGCAAGACTATGGTTCAGACAACCAAACTAGCCGTGGATAAAAGACAGTTATGGTAGCTCAGTCGTCAATGGAATTATTACGTGCTGTCTTGCTTGGAACGGCGAGCTGTGTTTTACCCGGGAGCTGGTTGCGCGTGCTTCTCTTCGACCCTCTTTTTCTTCGCGCCAAGGTGCGCGGGTGCCGGTCGGCGTTGGGTGTCGAGTGCTGTCGTCTCTTGGACTCTTTGTCTGCCACAGAAGATAACAACTGAGCGTCGCGGGAGTCTAAGTCGGCGTAACAGCAGGATCGAGCGCTGGGGCGAGACTGACTCCGGCTTGTCACGCGGAGCACCTTTCGTAGCCGCATGGGTTTATAAAACATTAGGCTTAGAACGCTCAGCGCGTAGAACATTCGCCACTCGATCAGGCGAGAAAGTGCTCGAATATGCGAGAACGCCAAGTAGAAAGAATAAATAAAAGAATATTCCGCTCCCAGGAATCGAAGCCGGACCCTCCGACCGACAGCCAAGCACGGTAACCACTCGGCCATATACGAATTTTTTTTATTGCAACACAAAAAACTCATGTCAATTAAATTTAAAAACGCCCTGCAGGACTTCTGCAGGACACGTTAATAAAAAGGCTCTAATTTACAACAGCGCTTTACAAAGTCCTAGCCTTTCGGCCTTGGGCTCGCGAGTGGAAAAAAACACTCTCGACCTGCTTCACAAGAGAGACGACATAGAAGCGAACTTCTTTAGCCGTGGGGTTGGCATTGCATACTGCCAGGCGTAAGTGCCAAATACTACAACCCCCCCCCCCCCCAAAAAAAAAAAATGAAATGGCACGCGGTCATCATTTATCACATTCAAAAAACGAATGCCAGCCGGGGTGATGCACAGCTCTTTCTTTAGCGTGCGCTGGAGCACGTCCCAAAAAAATACGGCATCCACGCAAAAGGTGAATACATGCTCAATGGTCTCACGTTGATTGCATAAAAAAACAATCAACCGTCCACGGCACATCAAAACCCTTTTTCTGTAGCCACACCTTTACCGACAACGTATTGGTGTGTAACTCAAAAAAGAACGATTTCGTCGAAGGTGGTACACACATACGCTTAACTCGGCTCAAGACATCTTGGCCGCCATGACAAAAAACAGTTCGATACATCGGCGTCGGGAACAAACTGACTATCAAATCGCGCGCGGGCGTTTTTTTGCTCACTAAAGACAAATAATCAAAAGATAATGTGAAAGCCGTTTACAACTCACTGTAACACCGAATTAGAGCGCAGCTCTTGAGGAGGAGGGGGGAAGGGTACTGGGGGGTGAAGTGACCTGGGGGGGGGGGGGTCACGTGACCTTGGGGGTCACGTGACGATGCCGATGATGTCATCAGTGACGTCACTGATGACGTCATCCGTGATGATGACGATGACGATGCGGATGCCGGTGACGTCATCAGTGACGTCCCTGATGACGTCATCAGTGATGGTGACGATGACGATGCGGATGCCGGTGAGGTCATCAGTGACGTAACTGATGACGTAATCCGTGACGATGACGATGACGATGCGGATGCTGGTGACGTCATCAGTGACGTAACTGATGACGTCATCAGTGATGATGACGATGACGAAGCGGATGCCGGTGAGGTCATCAGTGACGTCACTGATGACGTCATCAGTGATGATGACGATGACGATGCGGATGCCGGTGACGTCATCAGTGACGATGACATCATCGGGGAGGTCACGTGACCTCGGCGGGGGGGTCACGTGAACCCTGGGGTTGGTGACGTGACCTCGGGGGGGGGGGGGGTCACGTGACCCTGGGGGAGGGGTCACGTGACCTCTGGGGTCACGTGACCTTGGGGTGACCTTGGGATGACCTTGGGGGGTCGCGTGACCTTGGGGTGACCTTGGTTACGCCGACGCCGACGCCGCTCAAGCCGGGAACGGGCTCCTAAGAGCTGCGCTCTAAAACGAGCAAACAAGAACAATACAGTATCAACGACTTCCTTCTCGCTCAGCGACGCGCGTGGCAATAGAATGTCACAGACCTGTGCGCTAATTCAACTTCCTCGCTAAATTTAGCGGAGAAACTGAACTGGTGTGAAGGTCTGGGACGTCCCATCATGCAACACTACGCGCGTTGCATTATAGGACACGACAGGCAACGGGTTCACGAAATCCGGCTTCACGCATCTCGCCGCCCCCAAGCAGGACCTCCTCTTGCCTACCCTCCCGGCGTAACCACCGCCTACAACCAGGGCCTCTCGCCCCCCCCCCCTCCTCCCACCGTGCCCCACCGTACCCTCCTCCTCCTCTCTCGCCTACCCCAAAAACAAAATCTAAATATCAATATACATACATTTCTCCCTCCAATTCTTTACCACGACGTATATCACAAAATCAAAATACCCCAAGAGCTGCGCGCTATTTCGCCTTACAGAGAAGTGTTAACGTCTTTAATTATTTTTTTTTGTGTTCCAAAAGGTAGGTTTATATGAGCTTTTGGACACTAACGGAAAAATGAAGTATTATTACTGTTATTACTCTTTTTGAATTGTGTCCACGAATGAACGAATTCACATTGATTTAGGATGATCAGCGCTATACGTTCTGTCAGTTGCTCAAACTCTGCTGGTAGCAGAGTGTTCAGTGAAAACAAAACTGTGCCAGTACATCTCTTGCGTTGGAAGCTGGGCCCTTCATCAGCAATCTAATCATGCCTCAACGTCGTACACTTTTAGAAAAGCGTGCGCGTCTACTTACCCGCAAAACACTTAAAGAGCCAATCTCTGCGATCTGCGAAATCAGCTCAGCTAATGATGAGTCGGAATATCTCTTTAAACCTCAAAATTTTGTCTGCGCTGTGGCATTACGCAATGAAAGCATGACGCTTTGCATTGCGTAATACCACAGCGCAGACTTCATTCTGAGGTCCAAACAGACGTTCCGCCTCATTATTCGCTGAGCTGATTTCGTAGATCGGAGAGATTGGCTCCTTAAGTGTTTTAAGGGTAAGTAGACGTGCAGGCTTTTCTTGGAGAGTAAATATTTCAAAAGTGCTTAAGTTACTTCGCCAAATAGCTGTAGCTGTAACCGCAAATTGACACATTCCTAAACCACGCAGCTGTCTTTGTAACTTAGATATGCACGTTAACTCAAGTGTCTCAGAATGAATTCTGCTTCGGGTATGATTTTGACCGCTCGGGTCCTTGGTGTCGCAGGAGAGGACGTGACGGTGAGCGTGGTGGTGGCGCTGATGCAGGTGCACCCTCCCCACAGCGCCTTCCTCACCCGGAACCGACTGCGTATGCACCAGATCGGCTTCGTCATCTACCACGTACGCACACAGTACTCGCCTATGATTCAGCGAGGACGTGTTTCTCGAGAAATAGTCGACACTCTCTTTAAACCCCACCGTTCATGCCGTTTTGCATTTTTGTTTACGGTTCATAACTTTTTTAGAGCGCAGCTCTTAGGGGCCCGTTCCCGGCTTCAGCGGCGTCGGCGTCGGCGTCGGCGTAACCAAGGTCATCCCAAGGTCACGTGGCCCCCAAGGTCATCCCAAGGTCACGTGACCTCCAAGGTCACCCCAAGGTCACGTGACACCCAGTCACGTAACCCCCCGAGGTCACGTGACCCCCCGAAGTCACGTGACACCCCCAGGTCACGTGACCTGGGGGTGTCACGTGACTTCGGGGGGGGGCATCCGCATCGTCATCATCATCATAGATAACGTCATCAGTGACGTCACTGCTGACGTCACCGACATCCGCATCGTCATCGTCATCATCGCTGATGACGTCATCGGAGTCCGCATCGTCATCGTCACTGATGACGTCATCAGTGACGTCACTGATGACATCATCGGCATGGTCACGTGACTCCCCATGGTCACGTGACCCCCCAGGTCACTTCACCCCCCCAGTACCCTTCCCTCCTCCTCCTCAAGAGCTACGCTCTAATTCAGTGTTACAGGGAGTTGTAAACGGCTTTCACTTTTTTTGTATCCTATACTAATACAAAGAACGTTAAATTAAAAATTAGTTACATTAAATTAATTGTTATTTGTTAGTTTATTGCTTAGCTTTTAACCGACCACAGTTATTTTTTTTCTTTGGTTATAAAGTCTCAATGTCTACGATAACTTATGGGAACGGTCTGTTGGATATAATGAATTAAAATATAAATCAATTAACGGTAGCGAAAATGTAGTCTTTAAAGTAAAAAATAAAGTTTAAAATTGAACTATTTTCTTGTGTAATAAAAGCTGAATCCTGTCATATCAGATCGTCTCCTGTCAGGTAAGCATTTTTTGTTTTTTTTTCTTTAAATTTTAGGTTAGCTCCGCTTTCGAATGACCGGACCAGTTTGTTTACAGCAAGTGTTGTTTCGGAGGCGATAACAAATATATGTCCCATTGGCCCGTATCGGTTAAAGACAGTTACGGAAGGCTTTTAAGTTCGGTTTTGTCACGAGGGGCAAAGCCTGCGTAGGAACCACCGGCGCCTGTAGCTTAGAGGTTAGCACGCCTGTTACACATTCGAAGGCTACGTTAGAATAGGTGCATAATGACAAACCCTAATTCAATCGGTGCTTGCCCGCTAAATTCAAACTCATTTTAGCGTGCAAGATTTTCCGCTAAACGCAGTGGGAAGGTCAGAGGTGAAGTGAAACGCCTCGGAGAAACTTGCTAGGTCGATGCCACGAAACCACTGTGCGTAACAAACAAAGTTTCCCCGTAATAAATCCTCCGAATGATTCAATCGTTAAACTCGATTAAATGTTCGAAATACTTACCGAGAAGGTAGGTTCATGGATATGGCTCACAGCTCCAACCGAAGTTTCGACTAAAATTCCTAATTTCTGACAGCCTAAATATGCTGAATCTCAACGTAACATAGGCGTTTTCAGGAGATTTCTCATTCGTTTCTTCTCAGCAGCTTCGACTTGATTCGTGCTTCGAGGTCTCTTCAAATGAGCGTCGGAGTCTCTCTCGTGCAAGAGAAATAAGGATAAGAGCCACTGGCAGCTTGAGAAACGCCTATCGCAGCCAATGAGACGGCGCCATTAGCTCTGCCGAACAACGAAGAGGGAAGAAGCCGTACGTTTCTAAAGCGGTCAGTGACTTTTTGCCATCGCTGCCACCCATAGACTTATTTGTTCTGGCATGATGATAGCATCATCACGCTCGTATTCCGCTACCTGACGGTCCTGCGTGCGTGTCCTGTGTCCGGCAGGCCGTGGACCCTTTCCGGCGGCTGTCCCTGGACCACTTCGCCAAGAACCCCGACGTGGCCAACTCCGGCGCTTATATCAACTACCGGGAAGTGTTCGGGCGGTTCGAGCTGCGGCCGGGGCACTACGTCGTCATCCCGGCCACCTTCGACCCGGGCTGTCCGGGGGCCTTCATGATACGGGTGTACGCCAGCAGCCCGTTCCAACTCAGGTGAAGGCACGAGCAGTACCGCGCCCCACACTTTTTTTCTTTTTATTGACAGATACTACTGCCTTCTCAATGGAGGCGTTGTAGGACGGGCTTCTAAACAATGACTGAAACGTACAATATGAAACAAGGCCAGTGCAACGAACATAGTAAAGAGCAGAAACCGTGAAACCCACAACCGAAATATTGCACAACAATGAAATGAAACAGTGAGCATCATTACACTTTACCGTGTACCTTTTACCGTTTACGCAAGAAAGCGAACAAGACATTAAACGATGTTGTATACACAAACGACAGACATAACTTCAGTTCGAGATATATAGCTGCCAAAATATTTCAGGGGCAGTGCGACCACTTAGGACCGCGTGCCTGAAAACCACGTCTCGGGTGGACGAGAGCGGGAGGACACCATTTCTCGCAGACATTACGCGCATTTGATCCCACACATACCGCAAAAACCTTCGCTCTTGTGAAATGCACTTCCAGGGCCACGTCATAGATGGCGCCAGATTGCCTTTTTGATCTCTCGTCGTAAGAGATCTCAAGAAACTCGGTCGTAAGTAGATGCAAGTATGTGAACGGGCATTCAGATCTAGAACACGTTTTGGGGATACGCAAAGTACGTTCACCGCTCCCCCCGATCCCCCAAGAATTTAGCGGGAAGTAACGTCTCCTGAAATAACATCACTTGACAGAGACGTCACCTGCCCATATAGTGGCGCGAAACACGTGATCGACCACGTGGCGTGAGGTCAAGTCGTCACGTAGCCTATAATGACAGGAAACACTTGACCCATAATGGTTTCCACCATCCGACAAGCAGAAAGGTGTTTCCTAGTGGTCATAGGCGGAACGTTTTCAACTTCTCGAGGAAGGGGGGGGGGGGGGCGTGCTTGTTTTATCCCCGCCCCCTCCCCCCCCATACAGGTCCCTGAAAAAGAACTGCACATCGCCGGACGCTCAAGGGGTGTCCAAACAGGACACTACAAAATGCACGACTCCGACAAATCGTGAAAATTGAAGCGGGCGCGTCCGCTTCAATTTTCACGATTTGTCGGAGTCGTGCGTTTTGTAGTGTCCTGTTTGGACACCCCTTCAGTCTCCCCCCAAATCTACGACATGCGGTCCGGATTGGATCCATATATTATTTTCGCCTAATGAAACACTAAAATTTAGGTAATTATAATGACACGTTAATTTACAGCAGGGAGGCTATTCGGGCCAGTTGGTTGGGGGAGGAGCCCGGTGTCGTGGTTTGGGGGGGGGGGGGGGGGGGGGGGGCTTGAGCTCCCGATTTTTTTTTTGTAGTCGGTGCCTATGCATCTTGCAATTGCCTGCTTCTTTTACTTTATTCTACCGCAATCTCAGACTACTTCAATGTACGCGGAACCATCTCGGTACGGGCGCCTTTTCTGTGGAATAGCCAAATTTGTTTTCAATCGGCTTTATTTCTGTTCCAGAGAGCTTCACTGAAGAGGAACGTTCTTTGAGAAGGTGCTTGGGGACCTCAACGTCTGTTTGATTTCACTTCAGACAGAGGAGGGCCACATAAGCTGAACGTAAGTACGTGCATCGAGCCTGTCCCTTTCAACCGCCGCATTTGATGTAGCATGTTGCTGGGAGTCAAAGAGATGCTGTGCAGGATAGTTGTCAAGCATATTGGAGATAAAATAGTGATATATAAACTGGATAAAGCTGTCAATAACAGGGTTCACGTATAATCGTAGAGCCCGCAGATCCTTCCGGCAATAGCGCTTGTTTTTATAAGATGAGCAGTTACAAACGTGACTTCCCTTTTTTTTTATCTAAGCCTCAAGTTCCCGCCTCACGTGCTCCTGAGCAGAGTATGCTTGATGATAGTACTCGATTACGTGACAGCAGAAGTAATGGATTGGTTACTACATCATGAATGACTGCGCCATTTCTCATATACTCGTTTCATTGTCTTGCTTTGAAGGTCAGTGCTCCTCAAACTTAACGCTGCCATTCACTTATCGAAGTATTGATCTATGGCGGGCTACGCAAGGCCTGATTGGTCACTGCAGCAGCTGGATTGTCTTCTTAGACTGGGTGTTGATCGGGGAGTCATAACTTCACCAGACAGTTCGACTGCAGGCCCAAGAGTAGAACAAGAAGTGCCAAGAATGGACAATCTTGTGACTGCCTTAAGTTTAGGGAGCAAGTACATCTTAATAAATGAAGCGTACATTGTTAGAAGTTTTCATAAGTATTGTCGTTTACACGATTTTTGTTTTATTGTGTCATCTCACTCAAGCGCGGGGACAATAATTTATTACCAAGTGTAAGGTTGGTTTAACCGCAATCGCGCCACGGCGTAAACAGCGATCTAGAAGGTCCAGAAAGAAAATATTGCGGGTAATATTATCGCGTCAGGACACGTATTCATTCGATGACCCCTCCCAAATAAGTAATATAGTAATAGTAACTTACTAATACACAGTCCAATTAGGTCTGATTACGTCTGTGATTTACGCTGTAGTATGGCGATGGCCCATCTTTTCCGTGCAATAGTGCCATGAAACCGCATCATCTCTAATCTAGTAATTTACGTATTTACCCATAAGGGGCGTTACTTGAGGCGTTATTATACTGGCACGCGCTCTTTCCCCCCTACATTTCTGATTACTACATGCGAGGTATATAAGACTAACGCGTACTGTCAGGGGTTCGTAAATTTATAACGCATCGCAACGCATTGGATACATCCATCATTTTTTTTTATCAGTTGAAAATACAACCTCATGCTGAAGAATGTTGTTGTATCTTTTTTTGCCACGCAGACTTTATTCCTCGACCTTTTAATGAACTAAACAAGGAATACCAATGACGGTTGTTCGGAGTGCATGGCGGTGCATTGTCCACGACCTCTATACACGTTTTTTGTTTTCCTCCGTTCTCAGTCACGTGGGTTCAGCCTCTGGTAAGCAGGACGCAAAAATAGTAAAGCATTTCAATGTTGAATATGCGAGAGAATACATGTGAGGAAAAACAAGTGCCACAATCAAACATTTTTCGTGAACATGTTCCTGCGGCGTGGAGAGATCAGAACCATGTTTGAACGCGTACCGGAAGTGACGACATTCAAGATGGCTGCGCCTTTGTGGAAAGGTGTATGTAGCGTAGTCGGGGACAAGTTAAGAGTTCAGTGGAAACATCCCCCACCCCTTTCCACATTAGCAGAGCGTTCGCTGTAGAGAAGGCGACCTCCTCTCCAGTGTTTGCTCTGCTAATGTAGAAGGAGGTTGAAGCACAACCACGAGCGCACGAGGTCGCTGCTTTGCAACGTTCCTAATTCCGCAGAATTAGGAACGTTGCACTATAAATGCACGCCTCAAAGCCAGGAGCTACTCTCTTAAAAATGCTTACGGGTCTACTTACCCGCAAAACACTTAAAGAGCCAATCTCTGCAATCTAGGAAATCAGCTCAGCGAATGAAAAGGCAGAACATCTGTTTACACCTAAAAATGAAGTCTGCGCTGTGGTATTGCGCAATGCAAAGCGTCACGCTTGCATTGCGTAATGCCACAGCGCTGACTTCATTTTTAGGTCTGAACGGATGTTCTGCCTTTTCATTCGCTGAGCTGATTTCCTAGATTGGAGAGATTGGCTCTTCGAGGTTTTGCGAGGAAGTAGACGCGCAGGCATGTTTTTAGAGTGTAGGTCGCTTTTTCGCTTTGGGCGTGGCTTATCATGATTCTTCTTGGTGATTGGTTCTCCGGCGCCGGCTACTACTGCCACAATGTCATTGGCTGCGAAGCGGTAATAAGATGTTCGCCCGGCGTCAGGGACCACACTCTAAAAAACGTCTGTGCGTCTACTTTCACGCACAGCACTCGGAGAACCAATGAGCGCAACTTACGGAAACAGCTCAGCGAATGACGATGCCGAAACATCTGTTTACACCAAAGAACGCAGATTGAGTTGTGACATTAGGCAAAACGTCACTCTTGCATTGCTTAATGTCACAACTCAGACTGCGTTTTTTGGTCTAAACATATGTTTCGGCATCGTCATTCGCTGAGCTGCCTCCGTAAGTTGCGCTCATTGGCTCTCCGAGTGTTGTGCGGAAAAGTAGACGCACAGACTTTTTTTAGAGTGGCGTAGATTGCTGCGTGTGGATCTTTGCTCTTCCTCTCCCCTGTCGTTGTTGTCCGGATCAAGTGTTGGCCGCACCTCCCACGATGCCATTGCTCTCATGTACTTCACAGCACGCGCGCGCCACTATGCCCGGAGACGAGGAAGTAAAAAGAAAATCTCGGTTTCCTCTCGCTGCGGCTGCAAGCGCAACTCGGGGTCTCCCCTTTTGAAATCCGTGACGCAGCTCTTGGATGGACGGTCCCGGGGGTCGAGAGGGGGAGGGCCTTCCGGCGCTCGCAGCCAAGTCCGGTTTCCTCTCCGAGAGACTCCGTCAGCCGCGGACGTCCCGAGCCGGCTGCCGTCGTCGAACGCCGAAGAGCGCGCCTTCCGAGGTAAGTCTCCCTCAGCCGTGACACAAAGCGGCTTCGTCATTTGAACGCAGTCAACTTTCAGTTCCGCTCGTTGTAGCGAATAATGAATTTGTGGCAGCTTCCACCAATGACGTGGCGTATCAAACGCGCGAGTCTCCGTTTCGAATTTCGCGTTAGTACGTCAACGTTTCATGTTGTTGTTTGGGCCGTGGCGACCAAGGAGATGCTTACGGGGCGCTTGACACCTGCATTACTTGGAATATAGTACTTGTTGGTAACAAAGTTAAGAATTCGTAATTTTCTTCCGAATAAGAAGAGTGTAGTCATTTTAGAAATTTCATTTCTGACCGGATAACCAGAGGCGGTACCTAGGTACTCTTTCTGGAGAACGTGTGCAACATATGGTTCACCACCTAGGTTGTCCTCACCCCCGCTCGCGCCGTATTTGCATCTTCATTCAGAAGCGCTGAAACGACAAGTGAGGAACGATATTCACGAAGGGAAATGGCTGCGCCTCGGATCCATCCTTTTGTTCCCAATAATTGCCCCTCGCAAGAATGAGAACATGAAATGTCAAATGTTTTTGTTTGGTTCGCTCGTGAGCAATTTGTTTTCACTCCCTGCTCTGAGTCTTCAGGATTCCGGCTTTCGTCGGCGACCGGGTGCTATAATAAAATGTAAGTAACAAGGTGTTGGGACCGAGGAGTCCTCCAGGCAGGATCAGGCAGGGCCAGTCCGTGACAGGATCCAAAAGACGACTCCCGGCAGGAACATCGGGAGACAGCAGAGTGTTTCATGATAAACTCTGTTCACAACACATATACAGAAGTATTTACATGGTCTGAGAGCACACTCCTGCAGCCTCTTGCTGCTCTAATTTAAAGGGTCCCTTGGCCTCACCAACCCCAGAATGGATTCCCTGCAGTAAGTATTCGCTCCCTGAGCCCGAGCCCCAGTCTGGTTTTTTTAGGTTCGTAATATGCTTTAAACTAATACAGTCATGACTCCTTAATATAGACCCATTAATATGAATACCTCGCTATATTGACACCATTGTCAGGGACAAAATACAAAAATACATGCGTTTTTGTCCCGTTAATATCTAAAAATCACATTATGGACTACTTCTTGGGGGAACGGAGGCGTCCATATTAACGAGACATCACTGTACATATGTCTGGGAGAAGTTTATCGATTACACGAATTTATTGCGCACTGTTCGCATTTCAGTTTTCAGGTGCCGTGGAATGGAAAATTTTATCTTAAGTATTTCAAAAACATTGATTTTTTTACATTATTTGAAGCTCCTGCATTCACTTTAGCGCCCCGCGTATCACTGGGAACACCACTGGCCTGTTTTTAACAAGTTTAGCCAATGAGAAAGGCGGCTGATATTGTTCCCGAAAGGCCACGCAGTTTTAGGGGCATCAAAGAGTTCGCATTTTGCTACCGATAGAGCGCGGCGACTGGATCCAAATACCGCTGAGCCTCCTCATTGGTTCAAGTGAATATAGGAAAACTGACGATTGGTCCACCATACACTAAGATATTTTTGAGAGCTTCTCTAGTGACTGAAGTACGCAGGGGGTAGCTTAATTTATCTGTCCGCTTAATCGCCTCTTTCTGGTGGGCGACTATGCAGAGCAGCCGCTTTGGGTTCTTTACGTGGCGGGGACCGATTGCCGCTTTCCGGCCGTTCATCGCTTGCGTCCCTGGAAGTGTCTTGGGTGCTGTGTTATTTATTTTCGCACCTATTTCTTCTGTCGGAGTTCAAAGACAGGCTGACTTATTTGTTGCGTCTGGACGCCTGACACGTCTGGCCGTTCTACACTCTAAAAAAAGCCCGTGCGTCTATTTTCCCGCACGACACTCGGAGTGCCAATCACCGCAACTTACGGAGGCGGCTCGGCGAATGACGATTCCGAAACATACGTTTAGGCAAAAAAACGCTGTCTGGCTTGTGACATTAAGCAACGCTTAATGTCGCAATAAGCAACGCTTAGTATCACAGCTCAGACTGCGTCTTTGGCCTAAATAGTTTCGGCATCGTCATTCGCTGAGCTGCCTCCGTAAGTTGCGGTGATTGGCACTCCGAGTGTCGTGCGGGAAAATAGACGCACGGGCTTTTCTTTTTTTTTTAGTGTACAGCCGCCGGCAATATGAAGGTGAACACCTTACCTGGTTTCTTGCGTGTTTTATGGCTCGCTAAAGCTATATAAACTCTCAACGTCTCAAATGGTACGTGACCAAGGGTCTAAACGTTGCGTTCTAGCCCTCTTCCGTAACAGAGCTTTTCCAAAACTTGCAGGAGCGTCAAAAACAGGAAAAGGGCTGTCCATTTTCATATCACTCACGGGTGTACAACCGTTGCCGCGAGGATTTCGTGCCTGGGCTCCAACTCTGGGTGGAAACGTCGACCATACGGGAAAGGGGTACAGACGGACACTGATAATAGCGCAGGCGAGAAACATGCAAGTGGTCCTTGGTTTGGTTCCGCCGGAGAGCTCTGACGGCGACTAAGTTCGGGGCACGAGATGCCAACATGGTCGTGTATTCGTCCCGTAATTTGTCATTTTCTCGTATCTGTGTATCATTATAGTTACGACGATAAAAACTATAAGGCTTCTAGTCTGATCGGCTTATACCGCCATCAAGGTCTAACGCAAGCCCCTTTCACGGAATCAGGGAGGAACAACCAACATGAATCTTACTTTTCCTATATGTGATTCTGAGACAAAATTATGGTTGTAATGTCGAGGCGAAACATGTCGAGGCGAAAATGACTAGTTAAAGGAAGCATGTTCCTCTTCCATTCAAAGTATAAAAAATGCACCTGTTTAGTCAACCACATCTTTTCTTCAGAACATCTATTAATCAGCACAAAAACCTGTAGGAAGATGCAAGTGCACGCTGAAACAAAATGTTGTTCACGTTCTAGAACACGGCGTTCTTCTACGGAGTGCAGGTGCTGAGGAAAGGATGCTTTCAAGGTGGCTGCAGGGGCTGACGCTCGTGGCCTGGCTCGGTAGCGGATGCTCCAGGGACATCAATCTGGGCGTGTGCAGCAAGACCTTCTTCAGTTGCCAGTGCGGGACTCCCGGATACACGGTGCATCTGCCGGTCAAGCAGTAGGTCGCTCGCATTCTCAAGCCTCGTACTCTCGCGTCAGTCTTCTGGCTTGTGCGCAATATGAGCTCTACATGCAAGGCAGGAAAGAAAAAACGACAAAAACAAAAAAGAGTGTACACACTCAGATGTCTCTGAGCTTCTGTGGTGCACCAATGTGCACGTAGACCACCAGTCATTTAAGTTTCTTTAAGTTGTCGAGCTAATAAGAGGGGAGATGGGTATCCTGCTTCAATTTGCACGTTGCCAATGAGGTGGCATGGCAATAGACTACTTCCAAGAATCCTTGCATGCAACACTACGTACGTTGCATTATGTGACCTCTGTGGCCACGGAAAGGGTGGCATGGAGACAGTGTGCCCGCCACTACATTCTCCGTGCCCTTTATGTGTCGTATGTCAGTTGTGAATTCCGAGATAAAAGACATTTGGCGTAGTTCTCTTGGAGAATGATGTCCGCTGTCTGGCGTGAGTGATTGTATGGCGCCCGTCAGAGGTTTATGATCAGTGAGGATGTGAAATGATCGAGCTTCCAAAAACTGTCGAAAGTGGCGGATTGCGGAATCAACGGCGAGAAGTTCGCTCGGTACTTCGCTCAATACTTGTAAGTTTGTGCGAAAAGAATGAAATCGGTTACCATTCGCCGTTGACAAACTGCTGGAGGACAGCGCCTACTGCGATATCTGAGGCATCAGTAAGCAAGCATGTCGGTGCGTCAGCGTTTGGATGTCAAAGCAAGGTGGCACGCGCGATCTGTGTCGTGATGCTGGTGAATGCCTGTTTAGCCGCGTCAGTTCATTTAGGAAGACCTGTTTTCGAAGGTTGAAGAATATCTTGAAGAGGCTGAAACAATGTAGCACAGTGAGGAACAAAGCGTTGATAATAATTTGCTAAGCTTAGAAAAGCTCCAAGAGCGCACGCAGACTGAGGCTGCGGATACTCTCGTATGGCGTCCACTTTGCTGGGAAGTGGTCTTAGACCATGACGGTCGATTTGATGGCCCAGGAAAGAGACGCTCGTTGCACCGAAATGACATTTGGAAGTATTAATCATGAGGTCGTTTTTGTCGAGTCGTTGGAAGAGGCTGCAAAGGTGGTGCTTGTGTTCGTCTTCGGCTCTGTTCGCAACAAGGATGTCGTCTAGATAGGCGCACACAAAAAATAATCCTCGAAGGACCTGATCTAAAAATCTTTGAAAATTCTGGGCAGCATTGCATAGTCCGAAAGGCATCCGAAGGAATTCAGAGTCCGAATGGTGTGGTGATTGCCGTTTTTGAGATATCTTCGGGTGCGACCGGTATCTGATGGTACGCGCGAACAAGATCTACTTCGGAAAATATGATTGAACCATCGAGAATTGACGCAGCATCGTGGATGTGGGGCACCAGATAGCGATCAGGGGCGGTCGCTTGATTGAGGGCGCGATAATCCCCGCAGGGGCGCCAGTCGCCAGGTGTCGATTTTGGAGCCATATGGAGCGGTGAAGCCCACGAGCTGGAGGAGGGACGTATTATGCCCAATTAGAGCATATGGTCGAACGCTTGTTTGGCGGTCCGGTATTTTTCTGGAGGAAGCCTTCGAGGTCGTGAATAAACGGGGTGTCCTGTCGTCTCGGTGTGATGTTGGACGTTGTGTTTGACTTGACTTGTGAAAGTACAGGGACGTACTAAGGAAGGGACTGTTGCATGATATCAATGTAGAGAGAATCTGGCAGGACGAGCAGTGGAGTCAGTCCAATTGATTGCAGCTTCCTGCGGGTCCCTGATACCGAAAGGAGCGTAATGGCATCAATAAGGTGCCACTACGCTCCTTTCGGTATTAGACGGCTGCGGATGTCCACAAGGAGGTTGTAGTGTCGTAGAAAATCTGCTCCGAGCATTGGATGTTGGATGTCTGCGACAGTGAAGATCCAGCGCAAAACTCGACGCAATCCTATGTTGATCGTGAGAGTTCGGACTTCATAGGTGACAATGACAGTGCCGCTAGCTGCCTTAAGTTGCGAGGGTTGCTGATTACGATGATCTTGAGCTGTTGGAGGCAATACTGACACCTCGGCGCCAGTGTCAACTAGTCGCTAGTACCTGGCGTTGCTGCTTCCCGGCGCCGTACAAGTGCATTTCCGGGCGTGGGAGCCGAATGTACGATGATGCCAACATTGTTGGTTAGCAGGACTGTACCTGCTACGTCGGCGGGCTGGCGAGTTACTTCGACGTTGTGATGGCGATCGTGAAGGGCGAAGAGCAGCCACCATTTCTGTCAACTGATCTATGCGTCGTTCCATGGCGGTGCAGAACTCTGAGTGCTATTGTAGAGATCGATTTGTTTCGTAAACTTCTGGGTGGCGTGCCGTTGATACGTCGACAATGCGATCCGCCACCTTTGCGAGGTTATCCAGGGTTGCGCTGTCCGCTGACGCGAGCATCATACGGGCGTCGTTGGGCAGACGCTGCAGAAACAATTGTCGCAGAAGTGAGTCCTCAATGGTGGCGTTTCCCAACAAGTGCCTCATCCGACGCAGTAACTGAGAGGGTGTTTTATCTGCCAGCTCTTCTGTAGTCAGGAGTTGTTGTAGCCGTCGTTGTTCGGATAGGCTGGTCCGTCGAACTAGTTCTGCCTTGAAGGTGTCGTAGGGCCTCAGCATGGGTGGTGCTAAGATAATATCGCGCACCTCCGCTGCATCTACTGATGACAACTCGCTTACGACTTGATGAAAGCGCGTCTGCTGATCTGTGATGCGCCGCAAGGCAAATTGTGACTCTATTTGCGCAAACGACAACTGTGGATCCGCGGGCCAGAATGGCGGAAGGCGGACGGCAAGGGCCGCGACTTGGGGCTGTTGCGCTGCAGAAGAGCCGTCCGTTGCCATTGCTGCTCACCTTGGTGTTCTGTCGGGACGTCCGGGTCACCACTTATAGCAATCAGTATTTGTATATACATGGTGTCACAAAAGAAAATTTACACGGTCTTTTTTACCGCAAAAATAAACTAGGCATCGCCGAACGCTCATTCTCCGCCCAAAGGTAGCGCTAGAGGTCATAACCAGATGCCAAAGTTTCAGCCCGATCCGATAACTTAATCAAAAGTTATAAGTGATTTTCTGAAAATTTCAATGGGAAAATGGAGCCCATTTTTGTTCGTTTTCGGTTTCTGGTGCCATAGAGCCCCACGTGTTTGAAAACTACGCCGGCCGCCATTTTCCCATTGAAATTTTCAGAAAATCACTTATAACTTTTGATTAAGTTATCGGATCGGGCTGAAACTTTGGCATCTGGTTGTGACCTCTAGCACTACCTTTGGGCGGAGAATGAGCGTTCGGCGATGATTAGTTTATTTATGCGGTAAAAAAGACCGTGCAAATTTTCTTTTGTGACACCCTGTACATTCTTTACATATTAAGTACAAATCGCTGTCACGGCCTTCGAAACCTAGCCGCTCCAACTTGCTCGCGAGCATTTTCTCCCTGTCGTCCTCTTCTTTCTTGCCGGTCAAGAGCTGGCGCGATGACCGCTACAGGAGTAATGGTTACGAAACCCGTATTCATATGTTGTAAAGAAGGAATAGACCTATTGCAGTATTACCCAAGCATCAAGGAGAATGCAGGGATTGGTGTTCCACGCGCCACACGCGCACGCTTTCCCCGTATAAAAGATTCGAAGCAAATAACCAAAATAAAGCGTTGACGAACGCATGTGCAAGATGCCATTTGTTTTGGGTATTTGCTTTAGAAAAGTTGCTACTGCTGACGCCGGCACGTGTGGCGCGTGGAACACCATTCCCAGCATTCTCCTTGACGCTTGGGTAATGTAGGGAGTATTCACTGGCGGCCATATCCGTGTGCGCTGCTGCTGAGCGCGCGCTGAGGGCGAGCTTCCGCAGTCCTTTGGGAGCGTACATTTAGCACCATCGAGGTTGCCGGTCTTAGCAGACTATTAATGTGAGCTCGTTCTGAGCATGCGCTCTAAATATCGCCCTCAAATATGGCGTCCAGTGAATACCTAATATAGCAAATGGTATATTGGACACAAGAAAACGAACGAGTCTGGAGTATATCTCTTGTTCAAGTATTTTGCATGCAATGGATGTCAAGCAAATTTGTTTGTATATACTAGGATTAAAAACATCACCAGATATGCGCACCGGAACCACCTTGCCAACCTTCCAGTCGTCGGGTAGGGTGGTACACTGCAATGACTGCGTAAACATCTGAGACAAGATGACAAATTAATAAGTCACAGTACTCTTCAAAAGCTTGTAACTGATGCCATCAATACCTAATGAAGATGAAACTTTCGCGTTCTCAATCAGCTCAGAAATGCCGACCCAATCGATGAAAGTAGGCTCAATACGTGTAAAATTTGAATTTCGAACAACAGGTAATATAGTCGGTGCACAATTTGTGAAAAATACTGTGAAGGTATTATTCAAAATAACGCAGCCCTAATGACGTGGAATCAACAGTCCACCCTCGAATTTTAGGCTCCAGAACTTGCGTGGGTTAATAAAAAATAGATAGAAGCGTGTTATTAAAAAAATTGATTGGCGCTGACAATAGCTTGTTTATATTCCGACGGCACGGACAGATAGATAAACTGACCAACTTTCCTCTATCTTGGACACCTTGCAACAAAGAAAAAGGCGTCTTTTTTGTTTTGAAGCTGTCTTAATGAGAGGTTGAACCACAGGGATTTTCTGGAACAAGATATTTGACGAAGAGGAACATATCAGCGACAGCAGCGACCTTGGTTTTGAATAGATCCCAATTGTCATGAATCAATCACTCCTAGAACTGAGGAAAAAAGGCATTAACAAAAATTGCCAACTCAGCGTTGATTGCTCGAAAATCCGCTTTGCCAAGATCACGAATTAGTTTATACTGTTTAGGGGGCGGAGGAACTGGATTAATTGCAAAGTGAAGTGAACAGCAAAGTGGTCGCTTAAACCGGGCAGAAGAGATAAAGATGAGACTGGTTCAGGTGCAGTGGTCAATACGAGGTCGAGAACATTAGCTGATGATATAGTAACGCGAGTAGGTACATCTACAAGTTGGTAGAGGTTAGATATAAAACAGGCACTAATGAAAGAGTGAGCCGGTTGGCTGCGGGCACGGGGTTGCGGGCAAATAAATTGGGCGCCATGCGGGGATTTTTTAGTGTTGTGGGCTTGAAAGTTTTTCTATAGGGGCATATCTTAGACGCTATAAAGTAGGCAGCGCGCCCGTGGCCTAACGGTTATCGTGCTTACCTCCCACGCGAAGAGCCGAGGTTAGATGCCTGGCCGCCGATACACCTTTCTGTTGTTTCTATAATGTCGCGTTCTGGTAAATTCAAAAACGCTGTTGCTTATTCGATGTTAGAATATTCTACGCGCCGAAACTTTTACGCCGATTGTTCTAGAAGTCCACGCGTCCATACATAAGGGGCTCCACGTGGCGAGCCGCAGTCAGTCTCGCCCCAGCGTTCGATCCTGCTGTTTCGCCGACGCTAACTCTTTTGTATTTCGTTTTGGGCACAAGTTCGCCCCATTAAACGTTTAGTTTGCTTCAGTTTTCGTCGCCTCATCAATTGTCATTCGTGACAATATTGTATTTATTATGAGCCGGATATATTCATCCAGCCACAGTCTGTGTAACACAAAATCTTTTACAATAAAATTTAGAACATTCTGGTGGGAATAAATATTATTGCTGATTTGGCATAAGCGGAAAGTGTGAATTTGAATGTTATTCTGCGTAAATCGGGATCAGCTCTCTGTATGTGCTAAGACTCGGAGCAAAAGGTCCTCTGCCAGTCAAGGAGGTTCCTTATTAAATTTTGACATACGCTGTCAACTACGCCTTCGTGCTTTGTTTAAGCTTTTATCATGCGAGTAGTGTCCTAAAGATTGTGTTTTTCCAAAAGATAGTCCCGATCTTACGGACCGCCATCTCATTTGTCAATCACAACACGAGAGATAATTTATTTATTGATCGAATGATTGATTTTCACTACAGGTGCAGTTACATACACAGGTGGGAGTTGAAGTGCAGGCCCTGCAATAATCGCAAAGAGTCCGAAGTGTGTCCGAACCTACGCAACTGCCAGGACTGCAAGGACGATGGCTCGGGTTGCACCTCCTGCCCGCCAGGGCGGTTCGGGCGCTGGTGCACAGAACGTGAGTGCTGCTCCGACATCAGTGCACCATATCTTCAAGAATTTGAATGATGGCCATCTTATTTATTATTCATCCTTTATACACCATTTTATTGCTTTGCAAACAAGGGCGTTTTCCCACAGACGCTGCAGTCACTGCATGTACGCGGGAACTCGTTTTTCGCAGAGCAAAGCATTTATGCATCCTCCGTTCTTCAGCCAGGGCCGCCGAATCGGCATGACGTTAGAGATGAAACTTTGTGTGTGTTGGAATTGTGAGCACCCTCTTCAGCCAAGCCACGGCCACTTGATGACCGAGTAAAGAGCTGTCAAAAGTGTGGTTAAGTTTAGGTCGTTTACTTATTCACCACAAAGCCGTACTCAGTTTCCCGTCCGAGCGTTGTCGACGCTAACACTTGACGGACACAATCAAGCAGTGCCAAAGGTGCGTTGTCACGGCGCTCGCGGTATTTGTGCGTTTCATATGACCAACAAAAGTAATCACCCCCCCCCCCCCCCCCACCAAAAAAAAACAACAAAAAAACGCATGATCACGGTGCTGTTACTGTGCGTCCTTTCATTGGAAGTTGATAATAACCGTGAACGCTCGGGCGGCCATATTCCTCATTGCTGCTAAAAGGATTCTCCGGTCGTATAAAATCATGAGAAAAAAAATTAAGCGACAAGCCTTTCCCAGACAAAAACAAAAACAAATTGACAGTGACCTTCATTTTCAAAGTCCCATAATGCAGAAATGCTCTATTTAAAGTGCGACCGTTTAAAATTGCTTACAAGACATTGAACCGTCCTCTCGGATAGTCAAGGATAGTTGATTTCCACGCTAAAGTTGGCAGGGAAACTGAATTGTTGTATAGGCAACGGGACGTCAATTGACTTCGTGTGACCTAAACACAAATTTAGTTTCCCCGCTAAATATGTGGAAGAAATGGACGGACGGACAAAATTCTGGGAAATCGGGGTTCCGTTAAAAACATTTCATGCGTAAACAAATCTAAACATAGTTCCAGCCAGCAATCTAAACAAAGAGCAGAGCGCAGAAATAGACAAATACAACACGAGCCTAAGCCGCTATATAGTTGTCATTTTCATGAATTTCCTCGATGCTCTTCTCTGGACATGTGTTCCTCTAGGAACACAATTCATATAGAACTCTGTTACACGCTAACGTTTAGCAATCGCCACATATTGTTATAAAGTTTACCATTTGTAAAACGATCTTAACTTTGATATTACGCCACTCCACTTACGATATCCTAACTCGAACCACTCCCCCGAGATGTTCACCCTCCGCGTGTTGCAGGCTGTCAGTGCCAGAACGGCGCCACGTGCAACCCCGAGAATGGACAGTGCACCTGCGCGCCTTCCTTCACGGGAACTCACTGCGAGCAGTTTTTAGGTAAGACTTGTTTCTGTTGCCCCCAGAAGGGCAAGACGCTTGTAAGGCGTGACGTAGTGCGGCTTTATGATAATGGGAATTAATGCAAAGGCGCAAGCGAGCTGGACAAGAATGACAAAAATAATCCCCGGAGAAGGGAAACAAGGGGACAAAGGACAAACACAAATCTCTCAACACAGCTAGGTGACTGGTGTGCGACCGAAATATTCCTCTGGTCCTGGTATCGAACCAGGGACCTGTCCATTACCAGTGGAGCGCTCTACCAACTGAGCTAACCAGGAGTACGACGACGGTAGAGCAAACGGGTTTTACCAGCCGCCACCAGTCTAACACCAACAAGGGTAAACGGCCTGTCTTCTATAGTTATGATGATAATGCAAATAATACAAAGGTGCAAGCAAATTGCACAAGAATCACAATAATAATCCCTGGCAGGCACGTAGCCAGGATTTCGTTTTGGAGGGGGGTGGGGGCGGGGGGGGGGGGGGGGGGGGGGAGTGCCGCTTCATGATCAATTGCTGCATGAGGGAGAGGAAAGAGAAGGGGTTCCAGCAAAATGAAAGATTTCGCCCCCCCCCCCCCCCCCCTGGCTACGTGCCTGGTCCCTGGAGAAGGGGAACAAGAGGGACAAAGGACAAACACATATCTCCAAACACAGCTAGGTGACTGGTGTGCGACCGCCTGGAATGCGAGTCGGGACGGATCAAGTGAGATTGGAAAAACACGCGCTGTGTGCAGAATCAAATGAGCAACGAAGATAAGTCCGCGGCACGGGCAGGAAGTCCTTGCGCGTCATGTCGATTTGTTATAAAATTGTAAACGCATTCGTCACTTCCATTATGGGTGGCTCCTGTGGACTGCATGTTGTAAAACGAACCAGAAAATTGAGGTCCGCAGAAAGCTTAAAATGCCACCAAATGTGCTTTGATGTGTCATAGCAGATGACGCACTTTGTCGTCTGCTCTCTGCGTCTAACGGAAGGTGGTGCCACTCGTCTGGGAACCAGTCCGCCCTTGACACTGGCAAGTTTGTTGTTCTTAATTTTCACAAAATTTGAGCTCTGTCTTAATTATTATATCTATCAGTCTTGTTTATTTCCACGTATATTAAAAAAAAAGTCAAAATTACTTCTTTTTGTTTTGTTTTGTTTTTGCTGAGTATATAAAAAAACGGCGCCATATTAAATTTTGATTATGATTCAACCCGGATGTGTAGTCGAGAACGGTTAAAAGTCACTCACACTTATAGACTTCAGCTGTATGAGGCAAAGAGGTTCGTTGATATCCTCGGGCAAAACTGATTTTTCACAATGATCTCCGCTGCGCCAAACGGAGACTCGCGCGGCGTTGAAGTGGTCGGGACACGTGTAACCTATTCTGCACTGGTCTAGTGTTCCTTATCTTGCCCCTACAGTTTACTTTAGGTTAAGGTTTTGCATAAAGTTTGCATACATACATGTGTTCTCGTTCACGGCTGCGTGGGGAAAGCGTTTAATTGTATTTTTGGTTCGTCAAAATTTTACCTATTGGCGGGTTAAAAAAATCGCGATTAAAGCACTAATCGATTAATCGGCAGGTGAATCGATGAACTGCCCAGCCCTAGATTGCAGCGATGAACCTTCCTTGTGATTCGAGGATTGTAGACGCGTAGACATTTTTGTATGGAGCGTAACCATTGCCTTGGTTGCTCGAATAACTTGTGCTCTCTTACCATAAGGCCCGCGCCTAAAAGCTCGCGCGCAGCCATTCATTTAGGACTTCCCAAAGGAACCAACGACATGACCAGGTAAAGACAGTATCTTCGTGCGAAAGTGCCGTTTGCACTCAAGCACAGAGCTTGTGCAAAATCTGAATGTTGAGCCTAGCATCTCGAGGAAGCACATTTCACTGGAAGAAAATGGCGTGAGGCGTCCTGTTGTACTGTTCAGCATACAAGGATTGTTTGTGTTTGTGAAGAGCTTTCCGCCCTGTAAAAATCAATTTAACGCCACTCTTTTACGATCTAAATTAAGAACAGTTTCCGCGACGTGCAGGCTGTCAGCCTCCACCGATCCCGCCCAACGTGCAAGTCACCATGGACAACGACCTTTCGCCGACCGTAGTGTACTACTTGTGCGAGCGAGGCTTTCATCTCGTCGGCCCGGAGACTGCTTCGTGCCTCGGCAGTGGGATCTGGAGTGACCCGCCGCCGAAATGCGGTAAGTCGAAACTTCGCTATCTCCGCCTATCAACTTCACCGAAGTAGGACGAGTGCTACGAACACCATTCACTTTCTTCAGGCGCTGGGTGTGGACAAGACGTACGAGTGTCTAATCAAATAATTTACTAGAAAAATAGTCCACTCCGTTTATTTGCACTAAATAGTGCGTTTGCAGCACTGAGTCCTCCCCTAGCGGTGTATGTGTGCTCCGCGTCCTAGGAATTATTTTAGTTGTAGATTTGTGTACCATTTTTCATCCGTGCCATTCTGGTGGAGGCAGGGGGGGTCCCTGGGATTCCGGAGTTATAGGTGACGAGGTTTTTCGGTCGCGTACCGAAACACCTGGTTGTCTTAGGCCCCGGTCCCAATGCAAATACATCATCGAAAAGACAGTGTCTCTTTATGACATGGGTCAGAAAGAAACAGTCTGCAGATATGTTGGAAGCGTACTTGAAACGAACACGCTTCCAAATTGTTTGAGGTGTGTCCGCAGATGCCATCGTGTCTGCAGTGAGTGTCTTTAGTACGGAGCAGGCTGACTGCAGCTTCATTGCTCCTTCTTGTGACGGAGAATTGTGAAATGTGAATGCGGGGTGGATGGATGCGCAGCAAGCACGACGAAAGCTCGAAGTCATCGTGTTAACGGTCAAAGTTGACAGTCTGACGTTGTTCCTATTTCTGTCGACTATAGCGCGAGACACAAGCGCGTCAAAACTGTCCGATCTGACGTACGAACTGTCGGAACGACGGTCGGATGCGACTAGTTTGCTCGCACCGGAGGGTCGGATCGGGGTTCTGTCCGGCTCCGGTGGGCGACCAACCTGCTAGATATTCGCCGCGCATCAGTGCGATTGTCGGACGTCGTGGCCAATGGTGGCACGGATAGACCGAACGTCATGTTGTCACGTGACGATTGGCCCGATTGGGAGAGGATGGTTGGAGAAGCAGATGTAAGTTAAAGTTCACTGGCTCAATTTTTCATTTACCCTGAGTAACAATTGTCACTGTGCATGCTGGCTGATTGAATTCACATGTGACTACTGTACTTTCGTAGTTTACAAGCACCCGCATAACCACGTAATTTTCATAAAACGGTGTTTTCGTTAAAAATTTAAGGTCACAAAATGAAATTAAGCATATATTTGTTTTGCTGTCCTCGCTCCCAAAGAACGGCTTCACATGACCGATTTTGAGAAGCGAATCTCCTTAGGGTCTAGCCTTGTCCGGCGTCCGTGCTCACATCGATTGCCATCCCATCTGCCTTCTTAAAAAAAGAAAAAAAAATCTTGGCGCAGTCGACAGGATTCGAACCTGTGCGGGGAGACCCCAATGGATTTCTAGTCCATCGCCTTAACCACTCGGCCACGACTGCGGGACGAGTAGGGGCCTCTGAGATGTGGGAGTAACTCAAGAGCTGGGGATGTCGGGGATGAGACGTTGCATCTAGCCGCTCAACGTCTATACAGGAGAGGGCGCTGCGGTCAAATGCTCAACTGCGTATATGACCACGATCCATACCACACATTTTCTTTCTGACATGGACCGTTGACTTAATCGGTGGAGATGCGTTCCCACGGCTTCTAGCGGATCCAAGCTGATACGGTAGAAGAACCACTGGCTCTGCATTTCACCGATCATAAAGCTATAATTATGAAGTCGAAACGCAACCCGGAACTCAGCACTACCTATGAGCAATAAAAGAAAAATCAGCACCATCAGCACTACTTATGAACAACAAAATCAGTATCATCAGCACCACCAGAGCTTTGCCCCAATCAACATCATTCACCACATGGAGATGCGGTAATTTTTTTTTCTTTAGATGCAGATGGCGCCGTGTTGAACTCAACCTTTCTTGTTAACGACTGGGAGCTGTGCTTATTCTTTTTAAGAACCGGTTTGAACTGGTTCGCGCTTGGTGGAACCGGTAACCGAACCGTTATTTCAAAAGCATTACTGAACCTGCAGAACCCAACAGGAACAAAACGCAAAACTGGTGAACCCGAAATTGAACCGGAATATTGACCGGTTCTCCCAGCCGACCTTCAAGTGTTTGCGTGGAACACAAATAAAGAATAAGAATGAATATGTCAACAAATCGCAAGAATCGTACAGCAAACGTGGGAGTTTACATTTAAGGCAGGTTCTATATTACGGTGCTACAGTCGCTTGTGCTGGCGCCTTGTACAAATCGCACTTTGTCAGCGGTTTTCTGTGCCTGCCACAACCATTTGGGGCAGGTATACGAGGCGTCGCTTCTAACAGCGCATTAGCGGTTCTGCTGTGCAAGTACTCGAAGCAGAGAACAAGATAGCCTTTTCTTGCGCCCCGCACGAGCTAGACATTTTTAAGGCCTTATCAAACAGACAATACCCTAACCATGTATCTTTTGTGGGTATACGATCCGTTTGGTAAGAAAATGGGAGGTTTTTATTGTTGGCCTCTGTTGCAACTCGCAAGCCTTTTACACTTGATCGCTTGATCGATGTTTGCAGTGACACCAAGTGCCAAGAAGCGCTTTGTGCGACCACCCTTCGGCTTGGTAGAATGAGGGCTTTGAGGAAGCTTTTGCATACTTTTGCAGTCATCTTCGCGTTCAGTCTCAGCAGCGTTATGCTGCTTTTTCCTAGTAACACAATGTGGCTGTCAATGGCCCTTTCTTCACGTTTAGGAATTAGAAAAACGGAATTGTGGAGTTGAGTCATTCCAGGAGTGGGAATTGGCTCAGTGTCTCTATTCCGAGGAGTTGAAAAGAATGGAATTGTCGGAAATTCCCATTCCCCAGAAGGGAATTAGAATGGAATGGGGTGCACATGCCGCAACACCGCTGTCCACGCTGTGGCGCATTCACGTGCGGCGCCGATGAAAAGGGCTGTCGCGGGCACACCGAGGCTTTGCCCAAATTTCCGCCGTCTAGACGGCTGCCCAGGACGCTAGATGGCGGCAGCCATCTCTCCCAAGTCCAACCGAAGAGACCCTGAGGCTGCGCTCGTCCAGCCGTTGCCATCTTCGCAAAGCCTATCCAACGTCAAGGCCATTGGATTTTCGCGGAGGGAGGACTGTTTCACACACTTGCTTAAAAGACCTGGCGTGCTGCTACGCTTCTGGTCGTAAGCAGCCGCAAGAGGCTTAAGAAACGGTTTTAAAGGTCCGCTCATACAGTTGCGTTTGCTTATGTCCGAGTTCTTGCGATTTCTATACGACGTGAGAACGCCATCTATGAGGTGGCCCTGGAACTGCATTTCATTAGAACCAATGTTTTGCGCTTTCGCGAGATCAAATGTGCGTGCTATTTATTAAACAGGCCGGTTATAACGTTGTCAAGAGCTTTTGCGAGCCAAGCAAAAAAGAATGATGCGCGAAAATGATAGGAGATATACGGAAATGGGCAAGTGTTCCACGGCTAGCCGGTAGATGGCACCAGTGTGTTCTCTCGCCGTAAGATATTTTAGGAGGTTAAACACTGGGTCGTAAGCAGTCGCGAGTGTGTGAAGCATGCTTTCAGGTGTATTCCTCTAGCAAAGTGTTTGATTTAGTCTTCATCGTGTCTGTCTGTTTCTTCTTGCAGTGTAAGTGTTTGGTTACGTGAATGCGCTTTATCACGTAACGCACGTTGCGCAGTTACTTTCTTAAGATCGCAAAGTGTATCCTTCCGTGGAGCGCGCAGTGGCCGTTTCACACTTGTTGTGTTCTTTCAGCGAAACATGAGCGTTTGCACTTGAATGATTCACTCCTCCTTTGGCCCCAACGGGATGGCAGCATTGATAAATAAATCTCGGTCCCTCGCCAGAGAAGCTGTCCTTCTGCCCCGAGCTGGCCCGCCTGGCGCGTGGCAAGGCGGAGGTCCGGAGGGTGGCGTCCAGCCACCGGGGTGCATACAGCAACGGCACCCTGGTCGGCTTCTCGTGCGACGACCTCTACGACCTGGTCGGGGAGAGCTCTCTCGAGTGCAGAGACGACGGCACCTGGTCGGCGCCGGTGCCAGCCTGCGTCAAAGGTGAACGCCTCCTTGCTCAACTACGCAAATACTAATTCTAAAAAAGCCAATTCCTAAAACAAAATGAACACAATCTTTTTAGAAGGCATAATGGGACACGTATTTTCTAAAAGCAATTTTTCCCCGAAAAAAAAAAAAAGATATTGTGCAATATTTACGCCGTTAGACGCAAGTTAGGTGTATAGGTCACCGCGTTCTCTAAGCCCCGCCCACAGATCAGTGGCCCCGCCCATTACTACTGGATTGGCTTGGCTGCTCAGCTGAACACGCAAAAGCCTAGTGTCTCCCTTTCGCGACACTAGGCGCGTCTAGTCAGCCGTTTGACACCACCTGCTATAGCAGTGCGAGCAGACGCGCGAAGTCTCCTCATCGCCTGCTATTTCACACGCGTCCATCGTCGTCCGCAGTGCCCCGTTAGACGCGGACCCGAAAGCTGCGCGTCTGCGTCCGTTTTCGCCTCCGTCCGTCTGCTATTCCGCCCCCATCTAAAAACATCTGCAAAGCTCTGAAGACGCGACCATGAAAGCTGCGTTGTAGCATTCCATCATGCCCGAGCCACGCTTAAAAAAAAAAAAAAAATGTGTGTATGTTTATACAGCCGGAAGTTAGCCTGCCTCGGTGGGCGTCTGGTACCTCAGCTGTAGATGAGCAATTTATCCGGTGCAGTACAACCGCTAGCCTGAGGTCTTTAACGTGCACCACGCAGTAGTGATACACGACCGCACACCGGTACGATATCCATCCAGATCGAAATGGGCATGGGTGGGGATTGATCCCTGGGTTCTGCAGCGCGAGCTTTCGCTCCACGTGCTCCGAGCTGGTGTGCGCTAGACCACTCGGCCACTAATCCCCCCCCCCCCCCCCCCCCCCCCCCCCCCACTGTTCAATACAAGCGTTTGTCAGCGTTTATCCATTTGTGGGAACCTGTGACCGAGGCGACAAAAAAAATCAGCAAAATAAATATGCATTCCTTCCAGTTTTACTATTTTTTTCCTGGTTTCCACCACCGCCGAATTCGCATCGGCGGCAGCGATTTTTTTTGCCAAGTGTAAACGCGTCGTAATGGCGCGTTTACACTTGTGGATTCGCGGGCGGATCCGTGCGGGCGAAATGTGGATTTTGGTGCCGGGTGGGGAAATTCGCTCGTCGCTGGAATCTGGATCGGTCCGGGACCCAAATTCAGATTTTCCGCCAGCAACAAGTCGACTTCGCCCCCCTGCTTGCTCCAAAATCCACATTCCGCCTGCGCGGGCCCGCCCACGGATCCGCAAGTGTAAACGCGCTATAAAACACATTCACGTAGCAGTGCAGTCTGCGCTTGTAGTGTGGTTTTCGACACGTGCTCAGCATTCCAGCGCATATCTCATTTTTGAATGAAAGCGTATTCGTTAGCTTCATTAAATCTACACTACAGCTTGGCTCTCCCCGTTATCTGCGCTTAAGTGAACGAGGGACTCGGGTCTTATCTGTCTCATCATAACAGCTACTCGGTAAAATAATGCAATGACACGTCAAAAAATTAAAAAAAAATGTATGCCTATTACAAGTAACATTCATGTATGCTTACGCCAAAACAAAATCAAAATCAACGCTTGTAGCTTTTTCTTTTCAGCGTTTATACTTACGGGCATCCCAAAGTGTTTTTATTTTTTAAAGTATAATCACGCTTGAGTGAAACGTGACCATTGAATAATGATAAAGTCGTTCGTAAATTCCTTAGGTTTTGAAGAGCGCCAATATATCGAAGTTGATGTAGTCCGGCAAACCTTTCTAGGGTTTAGCTTTGGAAGTTTGGGAGAGTTATCAGAGTGGCAGCACTTCCACTGAGAGTTTGCGTTATCAGTTTCAGAAGAGCCCATCACGTGTGAAACCAAAGCAGCAGACATTCTGGGCGCCTTCACTGTTCCGGTGAGGTAAGCATTTTTTTCCGAACAAGTAGTTGGGAAGATGGGAGATAGAATTTAGAGACCCCACGGAGGGAGCCTGCAAACTGAACTGGGTGGTGTGACACGGAGTTGACGTGAGTGACCGCGTCATGCTGTCGTCACATCGCACACTTTATTTTCAGGTCGAGGGATTTTTTTTTCTGCCTCTCCATTAGTTCATCTGTCTTCGTAGATCGTAGTAATCTTCGAGCACTCTACGGAACAGCTGATGAACGCGCATTTTGTTAGAGTGGGATCTCATATCACATTCTCAGAAACTCCTGAATACGTACTGTCCCGCTCTGCATTCGGAACGCCCGTCACTACCCCGCTTTTATTCATTCCAGCCAATCCTAAGGGCGACTGGTACGGCGGCTAATGACCAATCTACCCGGATGGTAAACGCGGTGGACGATTTTTCGCCGCTGCGCCAGCTTGACCGTTGGGGCACGGTATACTACTCATCTTTCTCATTGGCTAAGCGGAATAAAGGCAGCTCTGTAATTGGTGCTTCGAATGCATCGCGGGGAAGTATATGTTAAGAGAATGGTGGGAGTACATAAAAATGTATTAATACGCCGGAGTGACGTCTACACTGGCTACTTCGAGGCTCTCTTGTTTTCTTTAGGGTTGGTGTTATACGGCGTAGAACTGTTCGATGCACGCTTTGGAAATCTTCGATGCAAACGCTTCAACGATCGAACTACGCTCCCAGCGTCGGAAGAAGTTTATTTAAAAGTTTTCGTACACCATTTTCCGACCTCTGCTTCGCTCTCCGCATCGAAGATGCCGCTCCGACGCTCGTGTACTGGAAGCGTCGTCGGGAAAGTCGCGTATTTTGTAAAGTCACACCGCGAATAACAAAAGACAGTCGGCAAACACTGTGTCAGGTCTTGCTTGTAGGACATTTGTCGCACAAAAACTGCCTGATGATCGAAGCATGTAAGAAGCTGCTTCGAACATGCTTGCCCGCAGACTGTGTCTGCAGCAAGTTTCTTTTGTATGATGATGTCGGCCAAAACGTCCCGTTGCCTCTCTGTTTTGTGGCTGGCCGACCTCGCAGGGCCTACTGTCCTTCAGGCTGCGGCCTGAGCCCGGGCACGGTCATCGGCACCGTGGTCTACCACCAACTGTCGGCGCTCTGCCGGGCCGCGCTGCACGCAGGCCGCATCAACAACGCCGGCGGTCTGGTGTCCATCGTGGCCACCGGAAACTTCGCGGACTTCGCCGCGTCCACCGCCAACGACGTCACCACCATTGCGTGAGCTTCCCTTACGGTGTCACGCAGTCTTTTTTTTATTTTTTTTTTTTTATAAAATCAAAGGCACGTTTGAAGGAGTTCGCATTTGTCGACGGTTTTGTGTTTTTGGCAGGTTGGCAGAGCCGGCTCCTGGTTTTACGTTCAATGAAGATCGCATTGCCACAGTCGAAACAGGTACAGGGGGCAAGGCTTGCTTACATTTTAAGCGAAATATTTTCGAGCTAACACCCCCTGTCAGACGGACTAATTTAGTGCGCTTCAACCGAGTGTACTTCAGCTTGCCGAATGTCACTTTAAGTGCTTCGGTGCCACACTGGAAAAATTGATGTCACTCGCAAAACATGGCAATAGCGACTGTAAAGTACTATTAGACACGTAAAATGTTAAAGAAATAAATGTCTCGGCAATAGTTTGTCTATTTAATAAAGACACGCTACAAACCAAGGTTATATTAATGAACGATTTTTACGCCAATTGAACGATTCTGATCACTCACCGCGAGCCAAGATAAAGAAGATAGAACTCCGCTTTGTCCCACGGAGGACCACGAGGAGACTGCCTGCCTTTCTAAATCATGATTATCGTGTTGTCTCGTACTGCCACAAGCTGAAACAAATGTATGTGCACTGTACCCTCCTCTGCTATCTAAGAAAGCGTTGGAATGACTGACTTTGTCGTCGTCATTTATCGATTCACCGCTGCGCTAATCTTGGTACAGATCAGTCCAAACTGTAAGAAATAAGGATAAGTCCACCCCACTATTTTTTTTTTTTTTGCAATGACACTGCTTTTTGCTCTCTCTTTCACGAATTGTTAATTATTTTTAGAATCAAATGTACGCCCTGTTTTTTGGTTTCTGTGTTGCTACGTTTTACTGTAGGAAAACTGTTATCGAGGTCACGCACTCGGTCGAGTAAAGTGACTTCGTCAAACTCAATTGAATCCAAATGTGTTCTTCAGAAATAAGCCGTGTGTCACACTACAGATATGAAACTAAAGGTTGAAGTGCGCTAGATTATCTCGTCTGACTGGGGTATAAGTTCCTTTTTTTGTCGCCATATAGCACTCCTGATATACAATATACTTGCTAGACATCGGCGGTTTTGTTAATAATAATAATGATAAATAAAATAACAATCAGGGTAAGGTTTATAAATTATGGGCGCACTAAAAAAAGTTGATAAGCTCGCTTTCCTCTAGAACACGGAGACGGTCAATTGCGGCGAACAACTGAAGGATCCCAACGAATAACAAAGCTCAGGATACCTGATCAGGATAAAAACCTGAACGGGTTTTTAGGGTAAATAAATAAATAAATACCTTGGACGAAAATATCCGACGTGCGCATGAGCAGTTGTGTATACAAAGGGCATACACGACTGAAACAGGGAAAACCAGAAATTCAGAAGATAGATACACAAATGAAATAAGCAACAAGATATACTAAACTGGTAAAAGTGAACTCGAAAAGTAAGACTGGAGCGCTGTCAAAGGTTATTGAATAAACGAGGCACTCAATAATGTTAGCGGGTTTCCCTTGTGAAGGGTACGCGTGAAAAGTAATATGTTTGAACACATCGGTACGGGGATAGGGTACGGAAATCGTGACTGCATATTCGTGGATGTCCTGACGTGACGTATTGAACTGCAAAAAAGTGTTAAACGAGAAATGAGATGAGTCATGAAATGAAAGATTTAATAGATTAGTCTTGCGACGAATTGACGGAAGGTCAATTTTCGATCGATAATACAATTTGTTGATGGAAATGTTTTTACTCGTTATAGACAAAGCGCAAAGTCTTTGTTTGCACTCCCGCGTTCGATATTCGCCTTTGTTACGGGGTCCCTCACAACGTCCGCATATTCGAAAACCGGTCGAACCAATGGACTATAAATTACGATTGGTTGAGGATGTGCAATGCTTCAGTTGCCTTTTCAGTGACCAGAGCTTCGCCGATGCTTTTGTAGTGATCGAGGATATATTACTATTTCAACAGTTACTAAAAGCAATTATGACTGATATGTATTTGAACTCAAGAGCAGTGAGATGAATGGCATTTACGCAGTATTTTTAAATACCGAGGTTTCTTTTCTGGGTTAGGCTTATTGTCACGCACAAACGCTTATAAGTATTTTGATCGGTAAAAGATGTTATTTATCTAAAAAGCACGCAATAGTCTGCGAAAATGCGGCAATAACTTCCCTCGTCAACCTTCGAGTTATAAAAAAAGAGCAGTCCCGCATTAATTTAGAGGACGGTCACTGCGATAGCCGTGACATGTCATGGCGAAGTTGTTAGGCATCGGTGTCGCGTTCACGGACCGCGGGGTCTTGTCGGCGTAGTCTAAATTGACCGATCTCACCAAGCGTTTCACACATGCGTGATGCCGCCATAGCTGTACTTCATAGGAGGCAGATACGGTGGTCATATTATGCGGGCGCCAGTTCACGAAACAGCTCGTGCCGCCTTGTACTCTGCCATAGCCTCCTCTCTAGTCACAGAGCCTGGCAGTTCGACGACGGAGCCATAGAGTGCTTGGTCGCAGACTTGGTGCACGAGGATCTGCTAGCACAGAGCATCGAAGAGCCATTTTTCGGGGAACCTGGACGTCAGCGCACAGCTTTTGCAGCGTCGTAGACCCGTAACACACTTGTTCGTTCGGGAGAAGCGGTTTTCGGCGTCTCGCCGCAGCGGGGCGCCAGCCACGTGGCTCTACTCTCATCCGTTATATGCGCTTCACCTTTTCCATTTCGGCGGCCGCGTCTCGTGGCGATCTGCCAGGCTTTGTCAGTATATAGGAGGCTATGCCAGGGCCGTAACCAGGGGGGGGTTAGGGGGTTCTGACCTCCCCAAAATTTTTTTCTGGGTACGGCCCTGATGTACCGAACCCCGCAAAGCACTCAAGATATGCGCAGATTTCGTGTTTGTGCCCTCAACCTAAGTACGAATAGAATGGATACGAATTGCAACTGGGGTTTAAAACTTCACGAGAGCGATTGCTCTGAACGTGAAAAATTATTTCGCTGGCAGTCGGTGGTAGGTCGGAGGTCCTCTAGGCTTGGTGGTAGCGGAATGGCGAAGGCAACTAGCGACTTCTCATAAAATGCAGGGTCGTCCAGGTGAATCGCCAAAAGTTATACACCAACTTTTATTCCTTTCCATTACCAGGAATTAAATTCCTGACTGTTTTCTTTCTTTAGGTTACAAGCGATTTGAAAGTATCCTTTTATTACCTTTTTAGCAAAGCGGAGGACCAGCCCCGGTATAGTGCGTGGTACATGGTCGGTGCACTTGCAGCCAGCCGATTTTAATCTCCACCCCTGCGCACGCGCAGTGGCGCCGGTCGGCTACCGGGTACCAAACCGGGACCGGTTCTCCGGTCCCGGTTTGGTACAACTATAACTCTCCATTATATGCCACCGATGCACATGATTCATAGGCGAAAATAAGACAAGAGACATTTTCAAAATGGCCGCCGTTGTCCCCCCCCCCCCCCCCCCCCCCCCCGAAATTTTTTCCTGGGTACGGCCCTGGGCTATGCTATGGCTCTGCTCACGCAGACCCCCAGCGGGGTTGCCACGATGCATGGCGGCAGCGGTGGGGTAATTAAACTCGTTGTAAGATTGGTATATTGGCTTTGCTGTCTCGAGCCTGCCCCTCAGAATTCTACCTGCGTCTTTACATGTATCAGAGCAAGCGCGAGTTGCAGCGCGTTTTCCGCTTGCGGCGGCTCAGGGATTCACTAGTGATGGCGTAATGTTCAGGCACATCTTCTAGGTGCTATTGGATAGATGCATATTGCTAAACCCTTTTAATCGAGCGTCAGCTCGCGCCACCTAGCTGAAGTTTTTAATTTCAACGATTAGCTCTGATTTAATTTGAAATGAGTTAAGAACCAGAAAGGTTATTTCTATCGCCACGCCACATCAAGTGTAGCTATCTGGCCTGTACTACACGAGAGACATACTCACATGTTAGTTGTACAAACGCCATATATAAAACTTATTGTCGAAGCGGTGGCGTAGCTCTGTGGTAATCCACCGGCATCGCACGCAGGGGACCCAGGATCAAAACTAGGCGGACAATCTTTTTCGAGCAGTTCGCAATATCGATGACGGACGACCCCATATTACGCCAACTACAGCATCAACAACATCAATAATATCAACAACTATAACAACTACAACATCAAAATGGACGCCATTTTAAGTGGTGGGAATAGCCCGTAACAGCTATCGCTGTAAAACAAGAATATGAAGGGCTCCCGGCACTGACCCCTGGAAAATGCCAGAAATAACCGACTTCATTGGAAAGCAAACACCATCCACTTGGACAAACTCCTTACGATTGCTCATATAGGGGCAACGGCATGAATGGCTCGTTTCGCAGTATATTTCTTGGTTTGCTAATCAGTTTCCTATGCAACACACGGTCGAACGCCAAAATTAAAAAATACTGCGTCCATCTGTCCCCCTTTATCAGACAAAAAGACAACAGCAACTTCCACCCACCGGACCCAGAACGCACAGAAACCGCGGAGTCCTTTCGCTGTGTTTCATGTAACAGGGAATGTAGACCCAAGATGAAACACAATTTGGTAGTGTGCGGGGCTCCCAGACGTACGTACGCAACACCTGCCACCGGGGGTGACGTCCTATGAACTCTGTATTTCGCCTAAGACGAACAAGAGGTTCTCCTGACACTATGGCGGTTCGCTTGAGAGGCTAACATAGTAAGGCGAACATAACTCCCCACCCCAATCCGATCCCGTACTAGGCTAAGGAGCCATTCTTCACCGAATAAATTCATTTATTCATTCATCAACAACCTTCACAAATTTATTCCATGTCCGAAGGAACTCAGCTATCGTAGACCAAACACGACCCTGTTGGCTTTTTGAAAAAAATATGGTTATCTTCAAAATGCGACACTAGATGAGTAAATACTAATTTAAAAAAGAAAAAAAAAACCGTTCCAGAACATTAAAACCTAGCGTGTTGGTAAATATGCTTAAACAGTAGAATAAATGCGTCAGTTTTCGTTCCGAATTTGTGTTTATTCTTTCCGGTTGTTTAACGTTCCAAAACCTGTGTGCAGGATTTGAATACGATTAGCTGTAATCGTATTTTGAGCTTCGTGGTCCGAAGGGCAGCAGAAGGGTGCTGTGCTAAGCTAGTCGGTAAGCATTATACATGGCAAAAGTGAGCGAGCAACGCGAGGAAACTGTAGGAGAACGCAGGAGCGTCTGTCCTGTCTCCTGTATTCTTCTACAGTTTCCTCATGTTGCACGCTGACTTTAACCATGTATAATTCCAAAGGCAACCCTCCTATCTTTCGCGGTGATTGTCCTTGTCCGTGCTTTGCGGAAAAGTGAACTCTCAGGGATGTTGAGAGTTCACTCCTAGGAGCTCCTGCACGCGTGCTGCCTCACATTGCACTCGGAACAGCTGCGATCGATCTGCCTCGAATCAGTTTAGCCTACCGGGATTGGCACCCTGCTCCGCCGATGGTCACGCAGTCGAGGCATAGAGGCCTTCACCGTGGTGGCCATTGGGTGGCTGTTAAAGAATCTTGCCTCGGATGGGAAAAAGGAATGTAATACTGTCAATAAACGTTCGACGAGGTGAACTTGTGTCTATAGATCAAAGCTAGAAAGAAGTGCACATTGTGCGACGGCTCCATACTGCCAGTCTCCGCTTCTTTTCTACAGACTCCGTCGTCTCGAACAATCTGACCAGAAGATAGACGATATGGTGAGTGCTTAATAAACGCGAGGAAAATCCTGAGCATCTTTTTATCTCTAGCCGATAAGAATAAGCCACGTTCTGCGTTACTTAAGCTCTCAGTGACTCTAAAACCTTCTGGAAGAGCAGTGTAAAATATAACATGGGGCGTGAGTAGTGCTCTGAGTCCATTCACGAATTTGAGTGTGATTGCATCACTCGAAGCTGGAGCTGACGCAAAGCAGGTTGTCGACAGGGATGGTCCACAGTGGGCGAGGCCTGCTTGCTCCCGACACGCCACAAGCTACCCCTGGGCCGAGCGAGGCACTACTGCGCAAACTCCGGAGCCAGACTGCTCGAGTTCGAGGAGGAGGGGCTGCGGGAACGGCTCTTCCCCTTCCTTAGGAGCTCAGGTTCGTAGAAAAACTAAGATGTTTCTTGTTTTTCTTTTCTTTTTTTCACTTTGCCGTATTAAGGCCCGTTTTCACAGAGACGCGTGCCTTCGCGTTTTGCCGCAAGGAAGTGAAGTCTTTCAGTCACTTCCTGCCAATTTAAGACATCTTTCTTAATGTCCAAGGTTTTGTGAGCAAACTGCGGTTCCGCCCAGTCAGAGGCTTATAACGAAGGCCGTCGAATTTTAGCAGCTTTATGCACCCCTTATAACCCGTTTTAAAGCAACCGGATGCGGCTGAAAGTGGTTACCCCCTTCCGGCAAAGAAGGCATGCACGACAAAAACCGGACTCAGGTAAGTTTGCGAGGACATGTCTTCGGAAGGAAGAAGCTACCGAAGAGTCAATGTGTGCGTGTCCTTTGCTCGATGAAGGAAATATATTCGCTTGTACCGAAACACCAGTTAGCCCGATGACATTAAAACGTTGAATAGCGCATTATTTGAAAAATTGTAAAACAAAATATTCGAATAACTGGCTGTGAAACGGCTTGCTTGCTGAACACCTGAAGCAAAGATCACTTTATGAATACGAAGTATAGGATAACAACTTGTGGCGACGCACTATCCCCACAATTCCGGCGCAGCCTTCGCCTCGTCGTCGTCTATTCGATGCACGGCCGCGCGCGACTCTGCATCGCTCGAAGACTTGCAACCGAGGCACGCGATGCAGACGAACGATCTTCGACTGCCGCTCCCAAGGCAATCAACCAACGTTCTTTTTTATGTTAGAATCCGTTTCTCACCACCGACGCAGTATCCCACATAAAAAAAACAATAACCATAAAAAAATCGCGAAGGCAGCTAAAGTGGGTTGGAGAAGTTGAAAAGTGCTCAAAGTGGCAGCATTTGACAAAAAGCTTCCTCAGGACTCCTGAAAACCTAGGTTCCTTAGGAAAACGTCGGCTGCCAGTGAACTCTTTTCAAGTGTAACAAGCATACCGTCTTATGAACTACTTGCGCATATTTATTTGAGTGTATAAGGGTATATATATGTAAGTCAAAGATGCGTACTGTTGAAGTTACTAATTCGAAGTTTATTACGACGTTTCGAGCGGGGACCGCTCTTCATCAGGTAGCGAGCGAGTGAGACTTTAGAGGACTCCAAGAGGCAGGATGAAACTCACCTCGTCCAGGACAATACTTGAGCGGTCTCCTCAACATGGAGGTTTAGGATCGGGTACGCCCCAAACGCTTTGGGTCTCCCGAGCGGCAGGGGGCGTCACACTGCCCAAGCGCACAAGTTCTTCGCATGCGCAGTGCAAAGCCCCAAGCTGCTCGAGAGACACCCAAGTCTGCCTATCGCATCACTGGCTTGGTGGCCGTGTGCGTTAAACGCACCGCATCTCGGAGCACGCGGGGAGCGTAAGGCCGCGGTGTGGTACCCAGGGATTCGGGGCTCAATCAGTTCCACTTGAAAGACAAGGCCTGGATAGTGCCTCCCCCTCCCCTCAAACGTCATTACGAGTGGATCCACGCAGAACCGCTTATTACTCGTGTCAGCGTCACCTCCAGCACGTCTTGCAGCGTCTCACAACGCGGACGCCTCAAACCGACAGACGCGACAACGCCAGAGGCGTGCACGTGTCCGCAGCTTTGCGGCGTCCTTGTCCTCCTAACCGGTACTGTCTCAATCCCCACCTCTGCCCGTTTCGATCTGAGCATCGTACTAATGAAACAATGAGTATAGTTATATTCATTTGCATGTCGCTATAGCGTGTCGTTTACTTAAACGGGCGAGAAAAACAGATGGCGAGCAGTCCACTACTTTCATTTACTCTTATAAATTTCAAACTTTATAAGCGTGCGAGTTGCATCCTCGACGATACGATTCCCTGGCCAAGGGGAAGGAAGGCCTTACTTAGTCTATAGGAGGCGTGATTTAGTCCGTAGGAAGAAAATGGCTGTGGAACAGAGTCTCCAGCAGGTCGACCGCGTTCCTCGCCACACTCTTGAGCAGACGGTACGTCTTCGGTATTAGCTTGAGTCCCGACTCGTTCAAGTCCAACATTTTGTCAACATTTGTTTCAATCTGAGTCACGATCTCGTGCGCTTGAGTCCCGTTGGTGATGTAGCCCGTGGTGGTCTTGATCATGAAGTAATGGAGCTCCCATCTGCACTTGATGGTCCTGGGTTAAAGGATACAAGATGTGAGAGGGAGCGTGTAAGAATAGAATGCTTTAGAAAAGCCTGCCCTCTGTGTGAACACTTCTGCTTTGTGGGGCGGTTTCACGAAACGCCATTTCACCTCCAGCAAGCCGTATTCCGCCATGTCGAGGAAGAGCCTCCGCAAAAGTCCCAATTGGTTTGCACGTAAACGCCGAATGATTTACTTTTTTCGTTGTTGTTGAAAAGCACAAGTTCGGCTACAGTGGCTCCGCCAATGATAGAACTCAGTAAGTATGACCGATGACATATTTAGGCCTCAATACCTACGCTTAGTCCGCTTTTACTTCTTCCGGAGTCGCCCCGGCGACATCTACCGGGGCCATTTGGCCGCCGACGAGTGGACTCCGGTTCCCAGTTCCCTACTCTCCACTCCCTCTAGCACTCTTCTATCCTTCTTTCACCACGGGAACGGGTCTGTGAACTCCTCCCGACAGAAAGATGAAGAGTCTCTCTCTTCCTGGAATGGAAAGGAGGAATAGAGGGAGAGTTTTTCTTCCTTTCTGGCTGCTATGCGGCCTTTAAATGCTAAATATTGATCAGAAACTTCTCGCATGGTTTGGATGTCTTCTTCTTAACCATTCACAGTTTGTTTCAGCTAACAATTCTAACTCGCAGTCAACTGGTGTTCACTCCGGTGTGCCACAGGGTTCTGTTCTTGGTCCTCTCCTTTTCCTTATCTACATAAACGATCTACATTCTTACGTTTCTTCTAACATTATCTTGTTTGCCGATGACTGCGTGGTTTTTCGTGAAATAACTTGTGATGACGATATAAGTAACCTTCAGTCGGACCTTAATGCCATCCCTAATGATGCAAAGCATGGTATATGAACCTAAACTTTAATAAATGCAAATATATGCGTGCATCTAGAAAAGCTAATAGCTTTCCCACCTACTTTCTAAATCACAAGCCCCTTGATGCCGTCACATTGTACAAATACTTTGGTATTCACATTACAGCCGAACTCACCTGGACTGCTCACTCTCGTATGTTATTAGCAACGCTAATAGCATGCTCGGATATACCCGACGTAACTTCTCAAAAGCCCCTTCGTCCTTAAACCTTTCGTTATATAAAAGACTAATTCATTCATAACTTGATTATGCTTCATCTGTGTGGTATCCTTGTTAAGAAAACTTAATAGGTTCACATGAATTGGTTCAGAATAATTCATTTCGTTTTATCCTATCTACCTATAACAGAACTGTCAGCATAAGCTCAATGAAATCTAGCCTCATCCTATTAACCCTGGCATCGCGCCGTAAACTATTTCGACGATGTCTATTTCACAAGCTCTTTCATCACCCATACTGTGCCACAATGTTATTTTACCTCCCCCGTATATGTCATCCAGTGAGATCATGCTCTTAAGGTTGGAATTGAGCTCTGCAAAACTAACGCTTTTTTCAGTCCTTTTTCCCACGCACATCAGACGAGTGGGATCGCCTTCCCGCACCGACGTTAGCCATCAAAGATCAGAATCTTTTCAACAACGCCCTTGCTATTATTGTATGATTAGGAGTCTCTTTTTTGTCTTATACTGATCACTGCATAATGTTGTACTATGTTATGAAATGCAATCCACTCCCCTCTATAATGCCTCAGTCCTTGAGGGTAAATAAATAAATAAACAAAGACCGCCCTATGTAAAAAAGTCGGGTACCAGCCGATGCTTTTTTATGTTTCCGACAACTCTGGGTGACGCAAACGATCAAGACGCAAAGTAACTCGAGCTAGCTGGAAAACACTGCTTCGGTGCACAGAAAGTCGCATAGGGCGAAGGTTGGTCAACACTGCGTCCGGCGACATTTCGAACTAGAGGTATGGCTCTTGAAACCGCCTGTACATTGTTTCACCAAAAGAGTGCATTGGAGACTTGGAACGCGTACGAACATGAATGCACATACTAAAATGACTTAGTCACGGTATTTTCATTGTGCCTGATTAGTTTCGCCACAATTACACCCGAAATACAGCAGGATCAGAAACGCCATGACGTTGCACTTTTGGCGCTCATTGACTGGCGGCTCGTGGCGCGTCTGCTGCACTCTGACTTGAGGTGGAGCGAGGAATAGGCATCCGGTGGCGTCTGAACAAAAAAGGACGGGGAACCATCCAATACCACCTAAAAGAAAAGGTGGGCTTGCACATTTCCACAACAATGGTTGGCGGGAATTGTAAGGAAAACGCCTTTAGCAATGACTTTTATGCGAATCTAAAGACATTAAGGGCCGGTTGCACCAACGCCGCTTAGCGCAAAGAGGAGCTTAGCGGGGAACCTAAGCTAAGTTTCGGCTTCGTTCGGTTGCACCAATATCGCTTATCGCTAAACCTAGCACTAAACTACGCTTAACTTGAGCGCTCAACATTGGGCGCTTTGCTTTTGGTTGTTTCCAACGTTACTAACACACTCAGTTGGGAAACTCGCCGTCGAAACCTGGGCCGCTGGCGTCCACCGAGACCGAGCTAAATGCGACAACAGCGCCACTCTTTATCATTTGTCTGTACTGTGGTCACCTTGAGCTTTTTGAAAGCCTGTTTTTGGGTAAAAACAAACGAAAAAGACTCTTTTTGTATGAAATTTATTGGAGTTTAGTACCAAAAGAGGGGCGCGTTATGTTTTTAAAATCTTTAGTTTGCAGGGTTTTGCGGCACAATTAATATTGTTTTTATACAACCATGCCTCAGCGGGCCTTTCAGGTAGCACGTCCCGCCCTAGGTGCATTTTAACTTCGATAGCTCAACGCGGCGCGTCCGCCGGGGAGACGCGAGTGGCATCCCTGTAATCTCTTCCGCTGTATC